CATAATGGGATATAACATCCGCTTCATCCAACTCTATAAAACTATAATTCTTTAATTCCATACACTTTAAAAATCTTTAGAACTCTGTCTTACTGTTGCCACTTATTTTTGCTAAATATTGCAATCCCATTGATCACAGTCATGTACTATTATTTATAAGTTGTCATAAAATCAATTTTTACAGCACGTGAGAATTCCTAATAAACGGTTATTATATGTAAGTCTTGTAATATATTTAATAAACACAGCCTATCTTTAGTTCCAACAAAAAGGAATCGATAAGTAGAAATTGACTTTAATACGTGAAAAAACTGTATTAACATCCAGTGTCATCCACTACAAGTTAATGTGTTCCTTTGCCCACTGTAGTCTTTTTTTTTTTCGTTGCTGAAAATTAAGATAAGGATTTTTTTCGTGGAATTCTACCTCTCAGCCCAACATCTGTTAATCTTCTCCGATTGTTCTTGAACTGACAGAAACCCAACATCATTCAGATCACTTTGATGGCCCCTAATGACATTTTCTTCTTGGAGACATAGTCTTTTTATCTTCGTCATCATAGATTTGTGCACCTTTTTCGGCCTTTTCCTTCATTGTTTTTATTGAATTTGTCTCCTGATTCGTAAATAAAACTTTCGGACTCCAGATGTAGTCACTAACCAGCCACCTGTCTTGCATTAGCATAGGAAAGACCCTTTCTCGTAACAATAATATTACATCTCTTTCTAGGTGTCCAATCTACTCTTTTATTTGATGTCATTGCTTCTTGACTAAATTAAAAGTTTACAAAACTTCCTACTTGTAATTGCAGTGTATAAGAACAGGTCCTTCTTCTACAGAACAAGCAAAATAATGAATTGTTTCAAGTGAAACATGAATGTCAGCTTCTACTGGCAGTTACTACATTTGATTTGGTCTCAGACAAGAACAGTGATCGGAGGAAAGCTAGACATTAAACACTTCATAACGGTTTTTTATTTATATTAAGTACATATAACTTTTTTGTATTGCAATAATTGATTTGTGTTTTTGTATTGATTGAATCAGTAATAAATTTTCTTTAAAAATGATATATGCATTTGCATTTTGCAAAACGTAGCATTTTCTATAAGCATACAAAGTTCAAAAACATAAAAATTTCCAAAAGTGTCCACAATCTTGGCCACCACTGCACTAGAACTACAGATCCATTCAAAAGATCTGTTACAGCATTACACCTCTGAATTTGTTTTACGTTACTTATTTCAAGTGTAAGGATCTTAAGTTTTACTAACGTTTATTTTTATTTTAAATCTTTACTATCATTTCTTATTTTCTACTTCCGGCCAGAATTAAAGGCTTTAACTTATTTATGCAAATTTGTCTGGCGAACGCCAAGTACTTAAGTTGTGGCTTTTTTGCCAAGCGAGGGAGAGGAAAGAGTTAGTCGAAGCAGGCCGCTTACCTTAGGAGTTTTACTCAGTTGCTGGTTGCCTTCCAGGCCAGAGGTTTAATCCTCGTGATAATTTTAAAGATTGAGTGTTAACAGTTCTCTGTACTACATACGGCTTCCTGTTAATATAAGGCCAATCTTCCACGTAGGCCCTTGTTTTTTATTCCAAAGTTAAGTTGAGTTAGTTAAATATTTTTATTTCTTACGTTCAGACCACAAGTAGTTGGTCTCGTATTCCGAAGTACGGAAATTATTGTAAGAGTGAAAAATAAAGGGTTTCGTATACCCTTCCTTTGTGTATCTTGTCTACTTCCCACATTTATTGAACATAGCTTTAGTAAGCTCCCTGTTCCGAGTCAGGTCATTTAATGTTCCCAAAGCAAGTAAGGAGGAACACGGAACCTGATACAAGTAAGTATTCCCTTTTCCAAAAACTTTCTAATAATCTTAGCCAGTATTTATATCGCCTTATTAAAAAATTTTCTTTAGTTGATTAGGTTTCAAGAAAATTTCCAGATGGCAAAGATGTCAGTCTTCGCCCACCTAGACAATGAGCTGGTGTCAGCGCTTCTGGTTCTCCGACTTCATTATAAACATAATTCAGCGGACGTGAATTCAATATTGCCTCAATTTCTATTAAAGCTGTTTCCAGCTCCTCGAGTTTGTTAATCAAAAATTCGTTAAAATTTTACAAAATATGAAATCGATAATAAAATAAATTCCAAATTTCAAATTTGGGCTTCCAGATGTGCATATTCGCAGGAAGATTACGTTATTCGAAATTGGATGGCTCTAGGTATGTTGTTTCATCACAATGCGAGAAACATACCTACATTGCTGCAGATAACATAACATTAGTGGCACTTCCTTCTTATGAAAAGAAGGAAAAGAGCTTAGGCAATGTTGCCCATTGCTCTTCCGCCATTTGATCATTTAAATGAAAGGTTTTAAATGGTAACTCCCGTGAAAGGTAAATAATAAATAAATAGATAAGATCCCAAACTGACACCAAATATATAGTATCAGCAAAGATCCATCTCTAAAGTCAGCAGTCCAGTTAAATCGTTAAAACTTCGCAATGGATTAAGAGCAGATTGCCAAAATCCACATTTCTAAACCACCAAATGAAACTAGTCGACCAATGATGCGATAAAAGTGCGAAAATGATGGGGAAAATAAAAGAAAAAAAAATTCTTGAAAGGTTTCAGATTTTAAATTACGTCCGAAGGGGCGTTTTTTTCAACGTTTTGTGTGTTACTTTTATTTATTAAATATCATGTTCGTTCGCACTTAAACCATAAAATTCAGTTCAAAGAGCAATGTCGCAAAATAATTTTTAAATAAGCATATCTTTAGAATTCTCCGATATACACAGTCTCGCGAGCTGGAGATAAAAGTATTTCTTTTCATATAACGTTGCCATTCTTGCTTTTTAAAGCATTGAGTTTGTAAATCAAAAATTCGTTAAAGTTTTACAAAATATAAAATCTATAATAAAACAAATTTCAAATTTGGGCTTTCACATGCCCGTATTCGCAGTAGGATTACGTTATTCAAAATTCGATGGCTCTATGTGCCCATTGTTTTATCACAATGCGAGAAATAGACAATCATTTATGCAGATTTTTCATTCTTTAATTTCTTCAAATATAATGCAGGACTCTAACATTTTGTGGCAACCAGTTTGAAAAGTGAAACCGAAATTTATGAGTAATTGAACGCAAAATGCGCGAAACGAAAACTAATAGTCCTTCGGGATTCAAATCCCTTTGGACTAAAAAAAAGAGAACTCACAGGGCGTCTCAATGCTTGTTTCTTGTGGTTTCAAATTCACCTTACCTGTAAGTGTTTAGAAAGAAACCCTATTATGCCAGAGAGCCCTTGGTATAGAAGGGCTTGATCAAAGGTAATATAGGGAAACCCAAGGAATTCGTTTCTAGGGACAGAAAACACCCGACATCGTCCCAGGAAGTGAAAAGGTGTTTCCTCTTCTTCTCCACAACTGGGCAGAGAGAAGATTCGACAAGACCACATTTGTGGAGATGCTTGGCCAGATAAGCATGTCCGGTAACAATTTGAATTACCTGGCGTAAGTTAGTTCTACTGAGGTGTATGAGTTTACCTGATAAGGTAAGTGTACTGAGCACCAATTTGGAATGAGCACAGTCTGGTAGTTTAGACCATATATCATCATGTTTGTTCTTTATCCAGCTACTTACTTCTTTTTTAACAGTCTGATATGAAACTGGGTAAAATGGTCCTGGGCCAGACGTGGGTAGTTGCGAGGCATCTTTAGCTGCTTTATCAGGTAGTTCATTTCCAGCAAAATCACAATGACCTGGGACCCAGACTGAACTGATGGTTGTTGTGGGCCTGAGCCAGAGAATTGAGATCTTGATCGTGTTCAAAACACAGTTTTGTAACTTGACACGATTAGCCAGGGCAAGGATGACTGATTGGCTGTCAGAGAGAATATATATATTCTTATCAACTATATTTTTAGCTAAGATCTCCCTGGCGACCATATTGATCGCCAGAACCTCGGCTTGGAAAACAGTTCTTAGTTTACTAATTCAGAAGTCAAACAAGTTCTTAGTTTACCAAAGGTGTAGATGAAATCTAATGAAATCTTCTCCAGATCCCTTTGTTCTTATAATAGCTCCAGCTCCGATGAAATTGGATTTTGATCCATCTGTGTAACATTCAATTGATCCTGTTGGAATTAGGTCAATTAGAGATTCTATCTCATTCCTTTTTGGTATATGAGTTGAGAATAGTTTATCTGGAACTATTGTTTCAGTAATTATAGGGATCTCATTGCCCAAGTCCAGGCATATGTCAATGTGGCTATTGATGCAGATTCTTCATTATTCAAGTTCTTTAAATATAATACAGGGCGATAATATTTGATGGCAACAATTTGAAAAGTGAAAGAGCGCTTGCAGTGAACCAACGCAAAATGCCAAAACGAAATTAATATTCCTTCTGGGCAAATTATCGCCCCCCCCCGAAAAAAAAACTGATAGGAGTTAGTCTACGAATAGACTGGTAGACTGCGAGAACGTAAAAAGCCTTTCGGGCGACCTTTAAAATCTGAAACCCTCCAGACTTTTAAAAAATTTCAGTTTATGTGTAAATATTCTTAAATTAGAAATCAATGGCCTAGATTTGGGTATAATGATTAGTTTAATTTCTGAGTGAAATACTCCATTTCATTTTAGTTATATCGAAGAACTACTTACAATGTAACAGTTACTATTCATCATTATTTGAAATGCTAAACAATGAACTGAACAGCCACATCTTACTGGCACTTTTCAAGCTTACAGTATGTTCTACAGACAGCTGAATGTGGGTATCTCTACACCAAAAGACGGCCCTTTTTTTATCTAGCATTTCATCTGCGTTAGCTGCACACATTTCTTAAAACGACAAAGATAACAATTTTTTTACTCATTTCTCATGTAATTGCATTGAATGTTTATGAATCGAGGATATGATTAATATTTTGGAATATTTACAGCTAGGCAAATATTGATTTAAGACTTTTCGTCATCAGTTTTTCCTTCCTCTTCGGTCTAAAGCTCCTGCTCTAGGTAAGCAAGGAACAGTTAGAGCATAGAAAGTGGACAGAAGCTGCCTCTTATCGAACTGTCTAAGAAAAGAATGTTGTACTACTTCGTCTTGGTGCTATGCCTCAGTTGTTGCACACGTGCTTGTAAAAAAGGTAAGAAAGAATTCCAAAATTCGTTTTTTAACCATCAATTATTATCTCCATATATTATATTTAAAGAAATTATATAATGCATCAATGTAGTTATATTTCTCGCATTGTGAAGAAACAGCGGTAGCTACACCCATCAATTTTGAATAACGTAGTCCTCCACCCGAATAGGGGCAACTGGAAGGCCAAATTTTGAATTTATATTATTATCTATTTCATATTTTGTAAAACGTTTTGATTAACAAACTGCACGATTTCAAAGCGAGCAATGGCAACGTTGTGCGGACGGGAAAGGAGAGAGGAAAAAAAAAAAAAAAAAAAAAAAAAAAAAAAAAAAAAAAAAAAAAAAACCTCTTTTTATATTCTGCGGCGCTAGATTGTGTATCGGAAATTCTAAAGATATGCTTACTTTAAAATTCTTTTGCGATATGGCTGTTGACCTGCATTTTATGGTTTAAGTGCGAAGAATATTATATTTAATAAATAAAGGTAACACACAAAACGTTAAAAAAACCGCCCCTTTGGGCGTAATATAAAATCTGAAAGCTTTCAATTTTTTTTAAATTTTATCTATTTTTGTATTCAAATTATTATTTTTTCTGTCAGGGGAAAATGGACCTCAAACGGATATACTCAAAGACTGTGAAAACTTGTTCGAAATGGACGACATTTATTGTGATGACATAGCTTACGAAGAGGTAATTATCAGTTTCATTTTCTTGCTTGTTATTATTTAGCAATTACTAGTAAATAGAAAAATATGAAATGAGCCTTTTATAGTAGCTTCCTGCCGTATATATTGCTGTATTCAGGGTCGTTCCTAGGCCACTAGGCTGCCCGCGTACTTGCCTAAAATCGCAGTCCTATTCCCAGTGATTAATAAAATTTTTATTTCATACTCACTAAATACTTAGATAAGACAAATTATATAAAAAGCTTTACATATGACAAGTACTTACAATGAATGTAAAATACACTCATGTCCATAAATTAAGGATAATGCAAAATCAGGCAAAGAAAGAGTTAGAAGCAAAACAAATCTGACTTATTTGTAAAGCTTATTTATTAAACAAAAGGTAAAGAGCAAAAAAAGATACTATATGTTAAACATTATTAAAAAAATTAGCGATTTTTTCTCCCTGGAGCAAATTACAAAAAAAAAAAAAAAAAAAAAAAAAAAAAAAAAAATTTACAAAAAAACCAATATTACATGGTTGGTATGATAGTTAATACATTGTATGTCTCCCAGACGATGCAATACAGTCCGTACAACGCCTAGGCATGCTGAGTATCAAATTATCGATCTGATCTTGGGGGATATTGCACCACTCAAAAAGCAATGCTCTCCGAAGTTCCGGTAGACATGTAGGAGGAGGTTGACGGGCTGCAACTCGTCGGCCAAGCATATCCCACACGTGCTCTACTGGATTCAAGTCCGGTGAGAATGCTGGCCAGTCCATACGGGTGATATCCTCCGATTGAAGGCATTCGTTGACGATGTTTGCACGGTGAGGACGGACGTTGTCATCCATAAACACAAATTGTGTGCCCATGGCGCCCCGAAACAAACGTACAGGTTGTTCCAGAATGACGTCCCGATAGATTTGGCTTGTCATGGTTCCAATTTGAGCATGCAGGTCAGTTCTGGAACCCAGAATAATTCCACCCCAAACAATCACTCCTGCACGACCATAACGGTGTCGTTCAATGATGTTTTCTTGGTGGTAACATGTACCTGGAGCTCTCCATATAAAAGTCCGGCGAGAATCAGACTGCAAGCTAAACCTGGACCCGTCGGAAAACATCACACACGCCCACTGTTGCGGTGTCCACAATGCATGCTCTCTACTCCAGGCTAACCGCAGGCGACAGTGAGTTACAGCAAGTGGAACGCATCTGACAGATCTACGAGCATATAGACCAATCTGCCCTAAGCGTCTGTACACGGTCTGCCTTGAAATTGCCACACCAGTGGCTGAAGAGAGCTGACGAGACAGGTCTGAGGCTGTGCTCCGCCTGTTTCTTTTGGCAGTAACTGCCAAATACCGGTCCTCATTCGGCGTTGTAACTCTGTGGCCACCTGTGCTGTAACGTCTAGTCACATTACCATCATCTTGGAATCGTTGCCAAAGCCTGGAGATGACACTCTGGGCAATTCCAAGTTCGTCTGATACTTCCAGTTGGGTACGCCCACATTCCAGACGGCCGATAATTCTACCACGTAAAAAATCATCCAAATGCGTCCTTTGTGTCATAACTATTCGGTTATTGCACTGAAATGCTTATAAAGCGCCTGCGAACAATTTTACTTCTTTGCCTGTATTCCTTATATATCACTCTCTTACACTCTCGTCATTGTGACGTACCATCGGTGTCATCTGATTACTTCCTGAAATTTGCATATGATTCTTGAAGATGTGTGTAGTGATTTTACAGGTGATATATTAAATTTAGAGTTGCATTTCCGCGTGACTCCGAATTATCCTTAATTTATGGACATGAGTGTATTTAGGAAATGGTATCGCGAGAGTCCGGCCGCTCATAATTTCGGCAAGCCATGTACTTTTACGCGTTGCAACCCCACTAGGAAAGGCCCTGGCTGCCTTGTTCGACAGACTCTCGTTAAGAATTTCCTGTTTTGCTTACTATACAAGGGACAATACCAAAGTTTCGAGGTGTACAAAATATAGGAGATATACACACATAAAATCATTTTGATTACCGTTTATTTTTCGAACAATCGCTTCGATATCCAACGCATTTTTGCATTCTTCATGTGTAAACCGCTTTTAAAAGTACTGTAGAGACATTAGATTTTTTCGAAGCTGGAAACGTGAAAAATGAGCAGTGCCCTCGCCGGGGCTCGGACCTCTCGAATATGCGCCGAGTGTGCTGACCATTACACCACGAAGGCATGCTAAGAATGCGGGGAACATCCCTTGATCCACGAAGGCATGCTAAGAAGGCGGGAAAAATCCCAGTCCCCTTTATAAAGGGCGTCTGGGGATTAGGGGATTCAATCACCAAATCCTAGATTGGATCCCCTAATACCTAATATGGTGGTGGAGAATCATCATCCACCACCTTTTTTAATTCGGGCGCCAATGTAGAGACATTAGGTTTTTTTGAAGGTCACGGGCCTCTCGAGTACGCACCGAGCGTGCTGACCATTACACCACGAAGGCATACTAAGAAGACGGGATAAATACCTTACAGTACTTTTTTACGCTTATTTTTCTAAAGTCCCTAAACAATTTCGTAGATATGAAGGGTGAAGAACCTTTTTCTAAGTATGCGATTTTTAATGTAGGGAATAGGAAATAATCATATAGAGCCAGGCCAAGACACTATATTGAAATGAGTCATAAGTTAGCTTCTGCGGGTCTAGGAATAGAAGGATATTGGCTCTGGGAAGACGTCCGTCTAAATCAGCCTATATGCGGCCAAGTCGTAAATTTACAACCCTTTTTTCACGGGGAGGAGCTAAAAAGGAGACCGTTTAAACTGTTAAAAGAAATCGTTTAAACATATAACTTCTCTACATTCAGTTTTATATAGAGGAAAATACAAACTGAATTTTTCGAATGAATGCAATTTTGTACAATGAAAATGTATTATTGAACGATAAACTGTAATGCAAATAACATCTTTTTTTTTTTAAATCCATAAGAGTAGAAAAACAGATATTTGTTACACGAATGAATTTGTAGTAAATATTGAGTTTTTCATTTCGAATGCTATGTTTCATGTATGCGAGTACTGAGTATGTGAGTAATAGTCTTAACCCAATGGCTTTCAACCTTTTCTCACGGCTAAGGGACAGTTTTTCAATTACATTGTGGTCGCTGCTTTTTGGTTAATTTTCCAATGACATATAAACATTAACTTGTTTTTATTTGAGACTTATGAATAAAATAACGCAAACTAGCCTGCTGAAAATTCTTCAGAATGAAGTTAATAATACTAAAAAATACATTATTGATATGCCCTTTTTGGTTTTATATGTAGTAGTTAATATGGAATCCTTAAATTATATATATCTATGTATAGGTAACTATAAATGGAATAAAATATAGAACAAGAAATAAAATGTCAAAGCAAAATATCTTTAATGTACAATGTTCATTACCATACGTATATTTATGTAATGTCAATATAAATGATTAGTTATTTTTCGTACAGATATAATTTATTTTTATATTTTGTATGTTTTTGTATTTAGTATTGTATACTTATCTGAAGTTTAATTTTACTTCTTCTTCTTTTGGGTTATGACTTTAAGTGAGAAAGAATTATTAAGGCTTTCATAGGGATTAAATTATATACAATCAATTAAGATCCGACTTTTCCTTTCTTTTAATAATTATATATATAATATACTATTTTGTATAAGTATACATAAAATATAGCAGTTTTTAAGCTGCTTTTATATATATATATATTGTTTGGTCTGGTTTGTTTAAATATAGCAAAGCAGTCGACGGCTATTTGTCTCAGAGTAAGGATGCTTCGGTGAAGAACTTTATAAGCAAAACTGAGTCGTATACACGTTACACATGGGAAAAAGCACGAAAACGCAAAGACAGCCATCTCGTTGAACGGGATTCGATTCCCAGATCAAACTACCAGTGTTCAACGACTTTACCGCTCAGCCACTAGTTCCCCTTCTCAGTTAACGTCAAGGTCCCCCTCTTGACCGCATTCGAGAGGTCACCCGTCCGTCACAGTGCATGCTGATCTCCAGCTATCCCGCCCTTCCCCGTAGTTCTTGAAATTTCCTAAACAATTACCTTGAAATTCTTTGAATTCCTTGAAACCAGGGCTGTAGAGTCGGTAGGGAAAATGACTGACTCCGACTTCGATTCCAAATCCCTCATACATATGTAAACATATACACATAGATTATAGCTTATTCTTTTGGTGATGGTGTTGGTGTATTTAATTATGGCAAAGCACACTAGGGCTATCTGCCTAAAGGGAGGGATGCCTTCGTGGAGGACTTTCTAAGGGAAACTGGCTCACATGGGGAAAACCACGAAAACACCCATGCAGCCAGCCCGTTCGCGGGATTCGAACGAACCTCGGACCGAACTACCAGTGTTCAGCGACTTTACCGTTCGGCCGCTGGTGGGCATTCTTTTGGTGAAACTGCGAATTATGGTAACTTGGCGATTTTTGGCGAAAATTCGGCGACAAACCCTGCTACAGCAACCTGCTAGTTTTTTTTTTTTTTTTTTTTTTACTAGCCATTTTGTTTTCATGTTTTTTAAGGTAAATGCTTTTTTATAAGTAAAGGCATGTTTTTTTTTAGCCATTTTGTTTTCATGTTTTTTAAGGTAAATGCTTTTTTATAAGTAAAGGCATGTTTTTTTTTTTTTTTTTTTTTTAAAAAATAAGCCATTTTGTTTTCAAGTTTTTTAAGGTAAATGCTTTTTTTATAAGTAAAGGCATGTTTTTTTTTTGTTTTTTTTAGCCATTTTGTTTTCATGTTTCTTAAGGTAAATGCTTTTTTATAAGTAAAGGCATTTTTTTTTTTTTTTACTCAACATTTTTTTCCAACAATCTGCTAGCCGAATCAGGCTTATGCTAGAACTTTTATGGAACAAAAGTGCTTCATCATGACGAAGATTAGGTGCGAAATTGTTTCTAAGTGCTTATTAGCTAAAATCACGATTGCAATTTTCCGGAAAATGTCACATGACGTGTCTCATGATCTCTCATTTCTCTGAGACAAAATAATCTGTGATTGGAACTGTGTACTTCTCAGATTATTGCTAAGGTCCTAGCTAGTAACCTTTATCGCCTTATGATGTTGCGTGGCCCCAACTTGTCAGCAACAGTAGTAGTGACTGCTATGAACTGTAAAGTACACAAACTCGTAAGAAGGGTTTAAATCCCTTTTTATTCCACTTTAGAAATCACAGTTGCGTTCACTTGACGCTCACAAACTACGCCGACCCGGCGGGTGAACAAATAGAAAAGAACAACTAAAAATAAATGACAGGATGAATAAATAATGAAATCACTATCTACGAGGCTCTATAATGGTAACTAACTTAACCACGTTCTAAGATACAGCTGAGATTCAGCAAACTTACTGATCAAGAAGTTGAAAGATTCAACGAACTGCCGAAATAGGCACACAGGCCGAAACGCGCGGTTCTTAAAATTTCTACCTAGCAACCTTCACGCTCGCGATTCAAGAAGCACACTTACAATCTCGTTTTCCCTTCTATTTAATTCAATTTACCATTTACTTTGCTAAAATTTGAACACTGCTCTGCGCGTTCGACTACTCTACTACGATTTACATACTCTGGCATTGGCAATTCCAGGGGAAAGTAAAGGCTTGACAGGAAAGATAGCTTAAAATAAATGTTAGTTAAAATAAATATAAACCCTACAGCCTTACCAAAATGTCACCAAACTACCTGTTACCATATTCCAAAGATTAGCCATTCTTTTAATATAAAAGAAGTAATAGATGCTACAGAGAAAACATTGATGGCATAGGAAATTATTTATATTAATTAGCCTTTATTACGAAATGGAAAAATTGGTATTGGTAATTTCTAAGAAACAGTATAGCTTCGGCAAGATCTTCTTTGTTCGAGGACCATAGAACCGATTTGATAAACTTCAGAGCTGAGGAGAATCTTTCTACACTGGCTTGAGTAGGAGGAAGAGCTGTTACTGTTAGGGCTTACTTCTTTTAACTTTTCAGGATAGATTTTTATAAGTTTTAAAAGAGGTGTCTTGCAAGAGCAATCATATTTCTTCAAAGGCTGTGTCGAAATCTTGTTTGTATTTTTTTCATTTTTATATCTAAAGGCTCTTGATTCTTTATTTTCATTCACTTTGCCTTAACCTTTTCAATATTATCCAACTATTTCTCAAAATCTAGTTCATCACTGGAAGAGGATGCTAGAGACACAATTGCAAGATCTGCAGTCTGACTGCCCTGATTTGAATACTCCAATAGTTCTGAGAATAATTTCATGCTTATTCAAAGTACATAGATGGCTTTCTTTGCCTTTTTAATTTGTTCATCATCCAACAAAATTCGGTGTTTTATATCTATATATATTGTTACGGTTTTTTTTCTGACACCAGTTGTTACGTCATTTTTTTTCCTTCACGTTAGTACGGGGTTCGAAGATTTAGAGTGAATAACGACGACACTTGATGAAGTATCGAAGCACACTTTATTTATCAATATTAATCAGGTTAATATTTTATTTATCAATATTAATCAGGTTAAGCTTTTAAAAGTACTGTAGAGACATTAGATTTTTCCGAAGCTGGAAACGTGAAAAATGAGCAGTGCCCTCGCCGGGGCTCGGACCTCTCGAATATGCGCCGAGTGTGCTGACCATTACACTACGAAGGCATTCTAAGAAGGTGGGAGAAATACCTCATATACCCTTTTAATGGAGGACTGGGGATTAGGGGACACAACCCCCAAATCCTGGTGAAGGAGAAACCACCACTTTTTTTAAGCTCGGGCGCCACTGTAGGGACAAACAGTAGACATGAAAAATAAGCAATGCCCTCGCCGGGACTCGAACCTCAGATCTCTCGAATACGCGCCGGGTGTGCTCACCACTACACCACGAAGGCATGTTAAGAAGGCAGGGAACAAGAAAGAGTAGTACGCATGCGCAGGACGCCTTCCACAGCGCTGCGACGGCGCTAGAATGAGACGGTACATAGTTTCCGAATACGCTACGTATATAATAAAATTAGTAACCGAAATAAAAATTTCATGTCATTTAGTTATTAGGATTTTAGAGATTTAATAATTAGTGATTAGTAATTAGTGTTAGTAATCAGTGACTTTGTATTTTAGTATTAAGTAATAAGTGATTAATAATTAGTATTTTAGCTCCAAAACACATTTACAGTCGTCGAAGATCTACTCTAAACACGCTGGAACAATCAGCGACACAGCCTTCACACTGTCAGGCAATAAGGGTGGAGACAGCTTCACTGCAAAGCACCCGACTCTGCTTTCTGCTCCTGACTCTGCTTAGTCGTTGTCGGAACTTCACGTACTCTTGACACTCTCCACGCTACAACTAGCGATGCCCTCGACGACATACCAGCACAGATCCCGACTCTTCGGGTCAGTCGTTCCCGGAGCTCAACACTCTCTCTCGACGAAGCACTGACCGCGATACACTAACAGACTCTTTCGGTGCACTCGACGACCCACTCGGCACTCGCTGCCTGGCTGTCAACTCGATCGACTCCGCAGGGATTGACTCGAGACTAATTATCTCGCACTCTCGAGGCACACACACTCGGAGACACTTACTGACTGCGGACCAGCGGGGTTTAAATAGCTTTCGGCTTGTGTTCGACAAAATTCTGGGCTAAACCGGTAAGAATTCGTTCCAGAAGGTTTTCCAGCCGTCCATGGTATATCGCCAATTTTGTCGGCAAATGTTGCCAAACGGGCGATTTCTCGCCAACTATGGCAACCCTGCCTTCCCTTGCAATTTTATGGCAACCCTAAAACTGCTTTGCGGGGAAGCTATCTTACCGCGCCTGTACATTTCGTAACAATATTGAACCCAGCAAAATCTCATTGCCTAGCAAACTAGTTTCTCTTTTTTTCATTGAAGAAATGATTCCTTCTGCAATAAACCCTCCATTTCAGAAAGAACAAACATTGCATTCTTCTATTCTCACCTCCTGTTAATTCTTCAAATTGTAGCTTTTTTGTGACGGTATACGATGCAGAAAGAAGAGCTTCCAGTTCTACAAGATCATTCCGCAGATTTCCTGTTAGCGAAACATTAGGGTTATCTACCTCATCTAAAAAAATTCAAACAAATTTTCTTTCTAAATTCTAACAACCTCTGAGCCTCGGCGTGGACATTTGTTCGACCTGCATTAAACATTCTTACCCACTTTCTCACCATTCCATCCATCACTATATCGCGTATTCACCGTAAACTTCTGTCACTTGACGATAAATTTCGGCCGGTTTAACATTCCTCGCGTTCAAAAATTTAATCACGGCACGAATCTCACAATCAGCGGGAGAACTAATTGTCTTAAACATTTTGAATGTGCACAACAAACTGAAAACACAACAGAGAGCAACCAAAATGGCGACAATTGAAAGTCAGTGAACAAGAAAGACTAGTACGCATGCGCAGGACGCCTACCACAGCGCTGCGACGGCGCTAGAATGAGACGGTACATAGTTTCCGAATACGCTACGTATATAATAAAATTAGTAACCGAAATAAAATTTCATGTCATTTAGTTATTAGGATTTTAGATTTAATAATTAGTGATTAGTAATTAGTGTTAGTAATCAGTGACTTTGTATTTTAGTATTAAGTAATAAGTGATTAGTAATTAGTATTTTAGCGATATTTTAATTAGTGATTAGTAATTATTATTAGTAATCAGTGATTTAGTAATTAGTATTTTAGTATTAGTTTCCTCAGGAATTATAAAAATAATTTTTTCAGCAGTTATCTGTCAAGCCAGGTAGATTACACAATCTTGATTTTATGCGCAAAAAAATGGTACAAACCTTCTTCTCGTGTGAGGAAACAAATTATAACTCATTCGTAATCAGGATTTTGTCAACTGTTTTATTCTTCGTAATCAGTAGCTGATATAAGAGAAATAATCCTGAATAACTGTGCTATAGCTGCAAACTGCAAACTAATAAGCACTTTACAGAATCAATGATATCGTATTTCTTACTTATGAAAGTTCCAATTTCTCTGCATTAAAATTACTAATTTTCTTTTATTGTTCAGATATATAACGGCTGCGGTTACCTCTGCAAATGCGACGATAATCAGTATCGCTACATCGAAAAGGAGAACTTTTCGCAATGCGATGAAGATAAGGTGAGCGAGTACTTTTTGTTAAAAATATATCACTGAAACACGAACAAGAACAAAATCAGGATAAAAATTTTTTAAAGATTATTTTGGTAACTGAAATCTCTCATAAAATTCAATAAAAATAGTAGAAAGTGTTTTTTATTGTATTGTAAAATTATTTTAAAAAAGGAAAAGGATTTGACCTTTAAGTAAAATCTATCAGTCATATATCATCTGTCTCAAGTTTTAAATCATTAAAAATTTAGTATATATATATACGAGGGTAAGTTGAAAAATAAGTTTCCCCTGCCGACTGTGGTCAGAGTTGTGTATGAAAGTCAAAAATTAGAATAAGACATTAAAGATATGACATACCTTTATTTTTCCACATAGGTACCAAGTACATGGAGACATTTGTCATATCGCTTGATGAGCTTCAAAAAGCCCTCCAGGAAAAAATCAGGGCTTTGCATATGTAAGAAGCGTTGAACGGCTTGTTTCACTTCAGTATTGCTTCCAAAGCGCCTTCCCCCGAGATGTTCCAGGCTGACCCATCGAGGTAGGAAAGGGAGGAGGGGCCATTCCGCGCTAGAAGAGAAGCACTGCTTTGAAGCTTGGGTCACCAGACGGGGTGTTCTTTGTTTACATTCAGAAGCTCGCTTGACAAGTTCTGATAGTATTTCGACACACGACAGTTCCATAGAAATCGAAAAAGGGACACTCTCGCATGAAAGAAACATTCATAGTGTGATGGATAATAGCAATTTTTATAGTTTACTGACATTTACGCAAAAATCACATCTTGGTTATTTTTCGATAACTAACAACAGCGATTTTGATTATGAATTTGTTTTATAAAATTCTAAGCTGTTGAACTACAAAAATATAGATTTTAAGAAAACTGCTAAAAGAGATCTGCCAAAATTTATTTTCTAGAAGATTTGAAAGTTTGAAACTTGATGGCTAAATGTAAATATAAATTATGTATATTAAAATATTTGTAATTAGGCTCATAGGTCAGATTAAGTTTTTATTAAATAGAGTAACGTATGCAAGGGCTATCTGCCTAAAGAGAGAGATGCCATCGTGGAGGAATTTTGAAGAAAAACTGACCTTTGAGTGGGTATTAAAAATAATACTTATAATTTTCATTCAAATTATATTCATATATATATTTTTATGTAAAACTTTCGGGTGTATGCTAAATTAGTGTAAATTACTTTACACAAAAAATATAGTGAATGCACAAAAATTAAAGATTTGCACATGCCGTAAATGATAAATAGGAAATATGTATGGGTATTTATGCATGTGCTTGCAAAAAGCATGCATCTGCCTTTGACAAAATACTTAAATATTTATTAAATTATTTATAAATGTATTTGAAATGAAGAATTTATTCACTTATAAACAACTGTGAAAGTACTGTGAAGAAATCTAATGATTAAATGTATCTAATTTATAATGATTATAAATGTTATCTAAATATATAATAACCTTAATATTGAATTGTAAACATAAATTGAAATCCTGGTCGACAAATACGTTAAAAAACTATTTAAGCCAGAATTTGTTCGTATTGGAAAGCAATCTGTTAAATGGTATTGTAAAGCAAATGCTATGAGATGCGCACTTAAGAACGTAATAAAGAGTTTTGGAATATGTATTGTTGAAATGAAGGCTAAAAAAAAATCTGATAAGTATAATTAAAAGAATTATTCCCTTTACATTTTATAATAACTCAGTTACAAGTTTTAAATAATACTAAAAAAAAAAAAAAAAAAAAAAAAAAATATTTTATTTCCTTTCAGAAATGTTCAGAGAAAGTCAAATACTATTTAATACCTATTTCATTATTAGGAATTAGCGAAATACTTATTTAAAATATTCGCTAATTCCTAATAATTCTCTAATTTAAAATGAACCGAATAGAGCATTAATTATAAATTGACTTACATTTTTCGATTTAAAAGAAGCCAAAAAATAATGTCATATTTAAGAAAGTATTTTAGGAAGAATCTCTATATATAGAAAAGAAATAATGCATAATTTTAATATTAATAATACAATAAACTTTGATCTTAATTTTTGTACCTTAACCGAATAAAATCGAATTACCTTAATTTTTTTTCTAATGTAAAATTAACGAAAACTTGTGAAAATATTTCATTCAAATTAAACCATTCTGAGAAAACTGTCCTGTGAAAAGTATAGCATTTAATTCCGTTCAGAATGAAATGTTGTTTAAAAATATGTTGTTTTCATATACTTAGGACTCTGAAGTGTTGTAGAAAAAAGAAAATATATACATTTATATGTATATTTGCGACGTAATTACAAAATATTTACATCCGAACGCGTCAAATCCCATAGAACTCGATGGTAAATGACCCAATGTTTTGGTCACCACGTAGGGATCGCCGGTGCTTCAGAGCAGGGTACGGAGAAACTTGTTTAGGGCGACTCCATCTTACTTCCTACCTCCATGGGCTGACCCCCATGCGTTGTTCTTTGTGTGTCGAGGTCAATTGTCGGGGCACCCATCGTGCTGACACTTTTCTATATCGAAGAATGTCGTGGATGACGTTTTGAGCTCGCTCATGTGAGATTCCAAGTTCTTCCGCTACTTCATCGATGCTGATACGCCGGTTCGCTCTAATCATGTCGTCCACATCCTGACATTTGCATCTGTAGTGGCCGTGCGCGCCCGTCCAGCTCTCGGTATGTCCTCCACTTGCTGACGTCCATCACTGAATGTGCGACACCACCTCCGCACCATTTGCTTCGACATCACACCTGGCCCATAGACTTCCACGAGGCGGTTATGAATTTCTGTTCCTGATACTCCACGTGCCCATTCATAGCGGATAAATCTCGGGGAAAGGCACTTTGGAAGCAATACTGAAGTGAAACAAGCCGTTCAATGCTTCTTCTATATCCAAAGCCCTGATTTTTTCCTGGAAGGCTTTTTGAAGCTTATCAAGCGATATGACAAATGTCTCCATGTACTTGGTACCTACGTCGAAAAATAAAGGTATGTCATATCTTTAATGTCTCATTCTATTTTTTGAATTTCATACACAACTCTGACCACAGTCGACAGGGGAAACTTATTTTTCAACTTACCTACGTATATATATATAGATATAGATATAGATATAAGGGATGAAAATGTGCAAAACACACACATTTAAAAAAAAAAAAAAAAAAAAAAAAAACTGAAAGCTTTCAGATTTTATATTACTTCCAAAAGGGCGTTTTTCTTAAGTTTTGTGTGTTACGGTTACTTATTAAATATCATGTTCTTCGCACTTAAACCATATAAAATTCAATGCAAGAGCAATATCACATAATATTTTGAAACAGCTTATCTTTAGAATTTCCAATACACAGTCTCGCGCGCTGGGAATAAAAATGTTTAGTTTTTTTCATCACTGTTGCCATTACTCGCTTTGAAATCGTTGAGTTTGTTCCTCAAAGAAGAAAAAATTCCTCAAAGTTTGTAAGGATCTTAAGTTTTACTAACGTTTATTTTTATTTTAAATCTTTACTACCACTTCTTATTTTCTACTTCCGACCAGAATTAAAAGCGTTAACTTATTTATGCAAAATTTGTCTGGCGAACGCCAAGTATACTTAAGTTGTGGCTTTTTTTGCCAAGCGAGAGAGAGGAAGGAGTTAATCGAAGCAGGCCGCTTACCTTAGAAGTTTTACTCAGTTGCTGGTTGCCTTCCAGGCCAGAGGTTTAAATCCTCGTGATAATTTTTAAAACGTATTGTAGTGTTAACAGTTCTCTGTACTACATACGGCTTCCTGTTAATATACGGCCAATCTTCCACGTTTTATTATTCCAAATTTAAATTAGAGTTTAGTTATATTTTTATATTCTTACGTTCAGACCACAAGTAGTTGGTCTCTGTATTCCGAAGTACGGAAATTATTGTAAAGAGTGAAAAATAAAGGGTTTTGTATACCCTTCCTGTGTATCTTGTCTACTTCCCACAGTTATTGAACATAGCTATAGTAAGCTCCCTGTTCCGAGTCAGGTCCTTGCATGTTCCCAAAGAAAGTAAGACGGAACATTGAACCTGATAAGTTTTACATAATTTGAAATAGATAATAAAACAAATTCGAAATACAAAATTCGGGATTTTTTTTTTTTGTTTGAATTCTAAATTAATATTTCTTTCATTCAAAAATTTAAAGCAATACATTTTATTGCTAGTAAATAAACTATAATTGCTCATAAGTATTTCAGTTTTAGTAAAGAAAAGTTAAATGGGATTGATAGAATAATAAACAGTACTTTTTAAAATATTAACTCTTTGTTCAACCTTATTGATCATCGCAGAATTTTAAAATGAACTTTGATAATTCCCATTATTTTCGCTATTATTCTCATTCCATTGTTCCATTATTCAGGTTTGCCACGACGGAGAGTGTAAAAGTATCGTCTTCCATGAAGTTTATGAGTCGGATGATGATGATGAATCCACGGATCTTGTTGGAATAAGGGTAATATTGTATAAGCAATTCATATATGTGCATCATTTAACTGCTGATAAAATACTTTAAGAAAACTGAGAGGAAAGTCTTCAAGTTTGTATTATAAAAACTTTTTGTTGTTTCATCCAATCGATTATATTACTGATAATTATATCACCTGATAATTACCGATAATAATCATCATCTGATAATTATATCACCTGATAATTACTGATATTAATAGTCACCTGATAACTGAATACTAATGATAATTATATTGCAGAGTCATTAGGTTATTTCGAAACAGGAGACATGAAAAATGAGCAATGCCCTCGCCGGGACTTGCCACGAACCTCTCGAATACACGCCGAGCGTGCTGACCATTACTCCACGAAGGCATGCTAAGAAGACGGGAGAAATGCCTTGACGGGAGAATACTCCTGAAATGAAAAGACGGGAGAATACTTCCTCTTTTAAAGGGAGACTGGGGATTAGGAGACCCAGTCGTCAAGTCCTGGAGGTGGAGAATCATCAACAACCACCATTCTAAGGTCGGGAGCCGCTATAAAGATATTAGAGATATTATTTTGAAGCATGAGACATGAGAAATGAGCAATGCCCTCGCCGGGACTTGACCACGGACCTCTCGAATACGCGCCGAGCGTATTGACCATTACACCTGGAAGGTATGCTAAGAAGGCGGGAGAAATAATCTCAGTCTCTTTTTGTGTGTGTGTGTGTCACACCTTGTATGCAGGATATTCAAGCACTTACATAACACGCGGATTTGAGACAGTGTTGTCACTGCCACAACCGCAGCATGTATCCGGTTGTTGTCACGGGAAAAACTACAATTTCTTTAGCAAATCTGTTTCCCCCCCCTTCTCCATGACTCCACGCGAATGGTTTAAAGGAAGTTTTACGACAATTTGTTTACACAGCTCTGCCCATATATGCTTATTGCTAATATCTATCTATCTATCTATCTATATCTTGTAAATAATACCTTTAACAACTCATACGAAAAACCTAAAATTTCAATTATGGGCGTGCTTACATCTGTCCATAGCAACTGAAACCTTCGCTTTCAATTATTAAAATTATATTTCCTTTTCTAAATTAAATAATTTGCTTTTAATTTCTAAATTAAAGCTGACCACCAGCGACATAACTATTAACTAACAACGCCTTTGCCGGGAATCGAACCGCGTACCTCTGGATACCGGCCCAGCATGCAGAACCTCTACACCACAAAGGCACGCTAGGAAAGTAGAAGAAATACCTTATATACTCCCATTTTTAAACAGCGACTGTGGTTTCGGGGGACCCAATCGCCAAATCCTGGGTGCGGAAAAACCTCATCCAACACCTTTTTAGTTCGGGCGCCACTGTAGAGACATTAGATTAATTGGAAAAGCCGAAAAGATGAAAAATTAGCAACGCCTTCGCCGGGAATCGAACCACGGACCTCTGGTATACCGGCACAGCGTGCAGAACCACTACCACGAAGGCACGCCAAGAAGGTAGGAGAAATACCTTATACCCTCCCCTTTTTAAAGGGCGACTGGAATTTTTAGGGGACCCAATCGCCAAATCCTGGAAGTGGAGAAATCTAATCTAACACCTTTTTAGTTCGGGCGCCACTGTAGACTGTCCCTTTCAAGTTTCATATTATTCAACCTCTTTGTTTTTGTAACCTAATTTATTTTTTTTAAATAAAGAAGTTTAATTATTTTAAACATGAATTATTAGTGTATTATATTCATGATAAAAATTAATTACAGGAGGTTTTTTTTTTTCTTCTTTTAACAAATCAATAGAAAAATAATTTGTGTTACACTTCATGTCAAATCCGTTACCTTGAGATTATTTAAACCAAAATTAGTTTGTAAATCTATCTAAAAGGAGCAGTATATATTCAGTGACATAGATAAACTATTCAAGCTAAGTTTGACTACATTGAATATGTACTGCCCCCTTTAGGCAGATTTACAAAATAATTGGGGGTAAAATAAGACAAATTGGGGGAAGTGAAGACAAATTATTTTTATTGACATGCTAAATTTTTATCAAAAAATTTTCAGCTGATGTTCTCATATTTTAAATTATAGAAATATATTTATAGTCAATTTATGCAATGCAATGCTCAAATTAAACTTTAAATATTAATGTATCTTGATTGTTCTTTCTTTTCTTCTGGGAGAGCATATGTTAAGCAAAATTTGAAAATGGGCTTTCAAATGTTATGTTTTTAGACTGTAATTAATGGTAAAATTTTTATTACAATGTTTGTCTTTTGTGAGTTATCGAAAGCAAATTCTTTTCAGGGAGCATATGATCCTTGTAAAATAGTTTACTTTGACAATGATTTGAAGAACGAGCTGTATGAAGAGTTGGAAGACGACGGAGAGGAATGTTACGATGCCAGTTCCGCATCGGAAGGAGTAAGAAATAGCAGTTTACTTACTTATTAATTTTATAAATTAGAGCCGTTTTATAATATCCCGCCCCCTCCAATTTATATATCCGCCTTCAGTTGGGAATGACTAAAGCTAGCCTTTTCAGCGATTCCAACTGAAGACCAGTGACATGTTTGATGGGTACTATTTAGAATACGATGGTCCACTTCATATTTACAAATGCTTTATCTTTATTTGGACTTAGCAGCTGTTATAACATTTAATATATTTTGAGAAATAAATAGCCATTTGACACTTAAGAGAAAGAAATTGTACACTGCGGGGGAAAAAAGAAAAAGGGGAGAGGAAAGGAAAAAAAGGGGAGACAGTTGTATGGGCCGATTGACAAAATTCAGCTTGCGTTTTTTATATCTCGAAAGCGTGACTTAGGACATGTATCAGATTTACACATAGCATTGTTCTAATTATACATAGCATTGTTACACATAGCATTGTTCTAGGTATTCTGACACAAAATCGGACTTTTTCTGAAATGACATGCAAATGTTTTTCCATATTTCGATTCTAAGACTCAAATTATGCCAAACTGCCAAGTTTCCTAAAACTTGCACGAGTAATTTTTAAAAAATTAGCTCTCAAAATTTTAGCTCCTCCATGTTAATAGAATTTGGTATAGATTTATTAATCTCTCTCTTTTTTTTATTGAACTTATTTGATTCTCCCTTACACATTTCGAAACTTAGGTTCATTCCAAGTAAAATTCGCCCATTTTTTATGATTGTTTTTAAAATTTGTATTTTTAAATAATTTTTATAAGATTTTCGAAAAAAAAAATCGAATTACAACCTATAAAATTTTTAATATCATTTCAAAATAGATGTAGTATTTCTAGGCGCACCTGCAAAAAATTAGAGTTTGTTAGTCAGACTTTTCTAAGATATTCGTGAATTTACATATTGGCGCGTTTTGAAATTTGACATATTTTGTTATAAGCGATAATAACGCCAAATGTGGTTTACGTATTTTATTAAAATCATTTGAAAGTACGAGCGATGACCTTTTTTTCGCTCGTGTGCAATGAAAAGAAGGAAATAATAAGGTTGCTATAACTTAAGAAGTTTGCCAAGTGAATTATTCTGGGCGCAAACTGAAGAAAAAATGCGCCAAGATAAATTTTTTAATTTCTTTATAAATTTCTCACTAAAAATCATAAAATTTAATATCTAGGCATAATTTGAGTCATAGAATAGAAATACGGAAAAACGTTGGTATGTTATTTCAGAAAAAGTCCGATTTTGTGTCAAAATAACTATGTTAGAACAATGCTACATATAAATCTAATATATATCCTAAGTCGCACTTTCGAGATATGGAAAACTCAAGCTAAATTTTGACAATCGGTCTAGTAGAACGGGAGCTATAGAACTGTAATTTTTTTTTCCCTGCAGGGTGTACAGTTCAAGTAATTTTACTTCTTTCACGGCAGATTATGATCTGTTTATAGCATCTCCTAGACTTGGATAGCATGAACTAACAAGACCTAGAAGACTGTGTGAAGAATTATTTTCAAGTATAGAAATCCAAACAACCGCTCAATTATTATTTATTCGCTCAATAAGTTTATAGAAGGCTACACTTACACAAAGCCAACTTCTGCCTTACACAAAAGCCAACTTCTGGTTTAAATAGGTAACGATGAACTTAAAATTGAAAGTAGTAAGTTTAGCCTAACGGCTCACAGGATAATTTAACGCGCAGGAAGGCTCTGACTCGTAAAAGTCGGCGTAATCAAGCTTAATGGCTAGAAGCACTCAACGTCAAAGGAATCTAATTGCTAGTAATTCAAGATTGCAACGTGCCCTTCAAGCACTAAAATCGGCTTCCAAAACCTTCCCTTAAATACTACTTCTTTCTACCTCATTCGAACACAAACGAGCTAGATTATTAATATTCTGGTAAGAAAACGTGGGTGAAAATGAAGATAAAAGGAAATTAGCTTTAAAATAAAAATTAACTGTTATAGATAAATTAAATGAATCACCACATGTTTATAAACATAGTTAATAAATTCTTATTATCATTCCTTTTTTTCTACTCATTAGTTACAAAATTATCTTATTTTCCACAGATTCGACTGCCAAGTTATTTTTAATTTTATTAATAAAATTTATAACTGACTCTTTAAAAATTCTAATTTAAGAACCTGAACAATTTATAGAACACTTGCCAATTCAGTTTAATGCGCATCAGTTTAACTGATGGGTGTTTGAAATTTTGCTCAACATGAAAATTAATAATTGAATAGCATAGAAATTATTTTAGAAAATGAATAAATCTTGCAAAATCGAGTATCCTTTAATACCATTCATTCAAATTTTTGTTTGCTAAAAATCTTTTCTTACAACTATACGTTTGTAATATTAAAAAATATGCTAATCAAGATATTAAATTTAATTTGCAATTGCCGCTTAATATTCTCTTTTAATTTGTAAAATATTTATGATGTTAAAATGTAAATTATAAATATGAAAGTTAGTGTTATAAATTTTTTATATTTGCTATGGCATTTCGAAAAGATTTAGCCCATAGGGCGTTATCCCAGAAGGGCTATTAATTTCGTTTTAGCATTTTGTGGCGTTTCACTTTTCAAATTGTTGCCACCAAATATTATCGCCCTGTATTATAGTTAAAGAAATTAAACAATGAAGAATCTGCAAAATGTATGTATGTTTCTATAAAACAACGATACCTGGAGCCATCCAATTTTGAATAACATTTTGAATAACGTCTCCACCCGAATATTGGCATCTGGAAGCCTAAGTTTGGAATTTGCTTTGTTATCTATTTCATATTTTGTAAAGCATTTATGAGTTTTTGATTATGAGATTAAGAAGCTCAACGATTTCAAAGCGAGCAATGGCAACACTGCACAGAAGAAAAAAATTAATAACATGAAGAAAGTTACGTAGTGAAGTATGGATTTCTAAAGAATATTCTAATCATTATAAAAGTTATTGCCAATACTAGTTTAGGAACACTTTTTAGATATTACAAAAATAATGTACAAAATCCTTAAAACTAAGGTTTTACGAATTATGGTCTGGTGTGTTAGGGCTTTTTTTATCCCAAAGGGGGGGGGCTAGACGAGAAGGGCTATTAGTCTCAAAAAGGCATTTTGTAGCATTTCACGGTACTTTTCCGTTTTGCCGGCGCAAGCGATAAAGTTGCCAATAATGGTACAACCGATGCCAAACGGAATATTCTCGCTGGTAACCTTTTAAGCCTCATTTTCAAAACAAGTCGCAGCTTTTTCTTATCAGATTGATTGTTTTTTTCAATACTGGCATATAATTGCATAGAATTTTTATCAGATAGTTCAGCTTTATGTCTAAGGCCATTTTCGGTAATTACGTCAATTAGAATGCAATCACAGTGCTTACCTGAAGTCGAAAATATAGAAAAGGTAAAGTCAAGGGTTAAATTCAAATTCTAATGAAATGCATTAGCGAAGTAAAGCACTGCAGTTTTACATAATTTCTGAGTAAGCTATTCGTACGAACTGAAATATTTCTTGCATATAAACTTGTGTTCCAAATTAAGATTTAACTTGAAATTAATGTAGATAATTACTGAGAGCATTAGAATTTTGTAGAGTAGTTTGCGTGAGATGAGATCGCTTGGGGTCACGTGATATGAACCGGCGAATCAGGATGGTGAACCATGAAAGCATAGTAAATTCTTAAATTAATGTTTTTTTACAAATTGTCTTTATTTATTGGCTTTTTATAAAATTTTAAGCGATATTAAAATGTTTATGCCTTCAAAAAAAGAATTCTTAGAACTAACATTTTTTAAATATTTTTTATGTGTATACTGTATGTTGTCGCCAATAAAGTCTGCTTGGCGAGATTTGCGCCGGCGAAACGGAAAAGTACCCATTTCACTATACACGGCAAATCACTTTTTAAATTGTTACCACGAAATATTATCTCCCTGTCTTATATTTAAAGACATTAAATAATGAAAAATCTGCATGATGCATGTATGTTTCTCGCATTGTGGTAAAACATTGGTACCTAGAGCCATCGAATTTTGCAAAACGTAATCCTCCACCCGAATATGGGCTAGGAAGTCCGAATTTGGAATTTGTTTTATTACCTATTTCATATTTTGTCAAACATTAAAGAATTTTTGCTTTAGAAACTCAACGATTTCAAAGCAAGCAATGGCGACACTGTACCGAGGGGGGGGGATATCTCCGGCGCGCGAGACTGTGTATCGGAAATTTTAAAGATATGCTCATTGTAAAATTATTTCGCGATATTGCCGTTGAATTGAATTTTATGGTTTAAGTGCGAAGGTATAAATAATACCGTTAATAAGTAACGGTAACACACTACGCGTAAAAAAAGCCCCTTTGGGTGTAATCTAAAATCTGAAAACTTTCAGATTTTTTTTTTTTTTTAATATTTGTGTCAATGTGCCAAAAGTTTTGAAAATGATGAATTATAATTGGAGTTGGCAGAGTTTGCTTGGAACTTTTTGAAATTGGACTGAAATATTGAAATATTACTAAGATTCCCAAAATCCCGATCAGTTTTCAAATGCAATGGAAAACTTATGTTTAAGTTATTATTTCGTGAAAAATTTAGAGGTTTATATCGTAATATAATACCTCTCTTCGTTTTCTAATGCTACAAGTATAATGCTTTTGCCTTAGAAAGGCATTCCTTTAGTAAGTCATTCCTGTAGGGAGACACGTAATCAAAGTACGTTAATCAAAATACTACCTTTAATTTGCAGTAGTCCCTTTATTTCTCTAATTTAAATGGTTTATTTCCCTTTTCCACTCTTTACATAAGGCTGATGGTGCAAATAATTTGGAAACTGAAACTCAGACATTGTAAACCAAAACCCAAATTACTTTGACACAAAATTCCGTCTGAGAACACGTCACATTTCGCTTTGTGTTTCGTCTGCCTTCAAAACTACATCTTAACAAATAAGAGTCCGATTTTCTAACGAATCGTATAGGCGAATACATGAAACTTTCTAAGATATGAATTGCCCTGAAATAAGATGGGAGAGTTAAAAAGTAGAATATAAATCCAAGTTTGCCAAATTTAAGGAGGGCTCATACACCTTAAACCCCTTATGATCTTCGAATATGTGACTGTTGCAAGAATTGGGATAACTTATTTATTTTAAAAGCAATTACTTCCAACTTTTTATGGCTGACTACATAATATAGCTGCTTTCTGAAATCGTAAACAGAAAGTTTGTGTTGCCAAAAATATTTTTATAATTTAATCCGCTTTGTGACAAAAAGTTTCCTTATGTTTTCAACATGCGCGCACAGTTTAAAATTATCTGTGGCTTTATTTAATTCCATAGTTTATATATAGCTTTTATAACATTTGGAAACTACTTTAAACCAAAAAAACTGAGGATTTCATGTTAAATTTTTATTTTATTTGGAGTCGAGTTTATAAAATGTATTTTATTAAAAAAATCTGTAATGTTTTCGTGCATAAAATTTTTTAATATTAAAATAATCATCAGATTTTCGGCTCAGTTCGAAAATAGTTCCCATATAAATAATTCCATCCCATTTCAGGTATGTACCATAAGCCATTTTTAAAATATCATGCGCGCAAGGTGGAAAAATGACGAAACATTTTGTCACAGAGTTAATTAAATTACAAAAATATTTGTGGCAACACAAACTTTCTGGTTACTAGTTTCCAAAGCAACTATTATTATGTAGTCAGCTGTAAAAGGTTGGAGGTAATTACTTTTAAAATAAATAAAATATCTCAATTCTTGCAACAGTCACATAATTCGAAGCTCATAAGGGGTTTAAGGTCTATGAGCCCCCTTAAACTTGAATTCAATATATATTGGTCAATAAATCAAGTTGTACATATGTGTTAATACTTGGCAATAACATTAAACGAAATTAAATAAATAAAATGAGAAAAAAAACTGAAAGGTTTCAGATTTTAGATTACGCCCAAAGGGGGCGTTTTTTTAACGTTTTGTGTGTTACCTTTATTTATTAAATATCATGTTCTTCGCACTTAAACCATAAAATTCAATTCAACAGCAATATCAGAAAATAATTTAAAATAGAGCATATCTTTAGAATTTCCGATACACAGTCCCGCGTTCTGGAGATAAAAATATTTGCCCCCCCCCACACACAGTGTTGTCATTGCTCGGTTTGAAATCGTCGAGTTTGTTACGCAAAACTTCATAAATGTGTAGGGTTTATATTTATTTTAACTAACATTTATTTTAAGTTTAAACTATCTTTCCTGTCAAGCCTTACTTTCCCCTGGAATTGCCAATGCCAGAGTATGTAAATTTTAGTAGAACGCGCAAGGATTCAAATTGTCAGCGGAAGTATTCTGAGTTAAATAGAAGGGAAACGAGTTCGAAAGTGTGCTTTCTTGCTTCACGAGAGTGGAGGTGGCTAGTTAGAAATTGAAGAACCACGCGTTTCGGCTTGTGTGCTTGCCTCAGTAGATTGTTAAATCTTTCAACGTAATATTCAGAAGTTTGCTGAATTATCAGCGGTATTTCAGAACGCGATTAGATTAGTTACGTTTAGAGAGCCTCGTAGTTAGTCACTTGTTATTATTCCTTTTTAGTTTCTTATTTTTATTTTACCGCCGGGTCGGCGTAGTTTGTGAGCGTCAAGAGCACGCATCTGTAATTTCTAAAGTTGAATAAAAAGGGATTTAAACCCTTCTCAAGACTTTGTATACTTTCCAGTTCATAGCAGTCACCACTATTGTTGCGTGCAGGTTGGAAGCGCGCAACATTACAAATGCTTTACAAAATATGAAATAGATAATAAAATAAATTCCAAATTTGGGCTTCCAGATGCCCATATTCGGGCGGAGAGGTACGTTATTGAAAATTCGACGGCTCTAGGTACCGTTCTTTCATCACAATTCGAGAAACATACATACAGATTAAGATTTTTGTTGTTTGACTTCTAAATGAACACATACAGATATACGCAGATTCTTCATTATTTAATTTCTGTAAATATAATACAGTGCGATAATATTTGGTGGCAAGCATTTCAAAAGTGAAACGCCACAAAATGCCGAAGCGAAATTAATAGACCTTCTGGGCTAACAACACTAAAAAAAATTAATTAAGAACCTCGAGAATTGCAAAGCGAGCAATGGCAGCACTGTACAGAAAAAACATTTTTATCTTATCTTCAGCGCGCGAGACTGTTTATTGGAAATTCTAAAGATATGCTCTTTTAAATATTTTCTGATATTGTTGTTTGACTGAATTTTATGGTTTAAATGCTAAGAACATGATACTTAATAGATAGAGATAACACATAAAACGTGAAAAAAAGGCCTTCCCCTTTGGGCGTAATATAAAATCTGAAATCTCTGATTTTTAGTCCAAAGGGGCTTTGGCCCTGAAGGACTATTGTTTTCGTTTTGCGATTTTGCGTTGGTTCACTATAAATGTTCGTTTCACTTTTCAAACTGTTGCCACGAAATGTTAGAGTATTGCATTATATTTAAAGAAATTAAATAATGAAGAATCTGCATAAATGCATGTATGTTTCTCGCACTCTGAAAAAACAATGGTACCTAGAGCCATCGAATTTTGAATGACGTAATCCTACTGCGAATATGGGCATGTGGAAGCCCAAATTTGAAATTTGGAATTTGTTTTATTATCGATTTCATATTTTGTAAAACTTTGTAAGGATTATATTTGTGTAAGGATATTCCAACACCCATTAAACAAAAGTGGGTAATTAATTTACTTTCTATTTTACAACATAACTCAAAATTCAAGCAATAATGAGCAGTAAATTTAAGAAATATAAATCAACTCATGGAATTAATCAAAAAATATCATTACACACAGTGTTACGGATAAAAACATCGTTAAGCATTAAGAGGTTCCCCCCCTTTTTTTTTTGATCTTCTAAAATGTACTGAGAGCGTCCTCGACACGGTAACGGTACCAATGAAAGATATTTAAGATATAAAAGATCTAAGGAAGATATAAAAGCAGCATTTTAATCCGGCCACGTCTACAAGCATGTTTTTTATGTATGTACACGATGCTAACTTTCCTATAATACATCATAGATATAGATGTAGATATAAATATTACACTTACATAAATTTTCTAATAGATACTTTTCGTAAAATGGGGTTTTTACTTCCTTGTACGAAGTAAAAAAGGAAGTATTGTAATCGCGAAAAGTTTCAGGCAGCATATTTCAACGAAAATATCCATTTTGACCGCTATCGAATGCAATTTAACGATGTTTTTGCGTGATATCTGTACGTAAGAATAGAATAAAAGACTCGTTTCCTCCAAAAAAATTATAAAACTGCTTTAAAATAAATTCTGAAGAGAATTTTTCGTGGCGTCTGTACGAACGTATGTACGTACGTATCTCGCATAACTCAAAAACGAGTAGCCTCAGAACGTTGAAATTTTGTATATAGGACTGCTATAACATGTAGATGTGCACCTCGTATTTTGGTTGCAATCGGCCGCACCAAACGTATATAAATATATTTATATATATATCCACTCTGTTACCAGGCTCAGTGATCTCAGTTTCTTTACTCTTATATGTTTGTAAATTGTACATTTTTTGCTTTAAAAAATGATTGAATTATGTTGTTTTTATCTTCCGGTTAAGGATTTTATGCCTTTAGTAAATCTGTGTGCAATATTTTGAGAATTATCAACAATTTCAAAGTTGTTTAAGTGCCGCTAAGGCTTTTTTTGACGGCGGCCATTGATTGTTTACATTTGAAACAGCAGACAGTTTGGATTTGTTGCCAATCTAGATAAACTTAGCTTCGCAACAACAAAGATAACGCCTTCATTTATTGTTGCCTATTAAATCATGCTTAATCCTTTCTGGAATATCTATATTAAAATTTATAAATATCTATATTAAAATTTACTTCGTAATTTTTAATATAGATATTTTGAGTTTTTATGTATTTTTGTCTTGTCGGAAAGTGAGAACTGAATTAATTGAATGAGAAATACTCAATCGTCTGTGAAAAACTGTTTCTTTTTCGTTTTGTTTGCTTAATTTCTTTTATACACCCTTCTAGCTTTATTATAGTATTTGAATAGAACATGTGGCAACGATTAGATAATTCTATTCTTTAAATGATATAAATTTAGTGCATTATGAGTTATAATAGGAAATATAATACTGTTAAGTGAATCTAGCGCCAGAGTGTCGCTATGGTAAACAAATACTAGAGTGAATTTTAAAGAATGCATTTATTTGTGGTTTATGCGCTGTCGGCGAAGTAGATTTAATTCAATCCATTAGTTTAAATGAATTAGTTTAAATGAAATGCAAGAAAAAATGCGTATAATTTAATATTCCGTACAAAGAACTTATGTGGTGTACACATCAGATTTTTTTTACTTTACTTTAAGTAACCCATATACTTATGATTATGTATTCAATATCTCTCTTCTTTTAATGTAGGTGTGTGACAACGGAGTTTGTATACCTTACGAAGATTCAGCCAGAGAAGATACAAGCCGTAAGTCATTCTTTTCTGTTGCTATAATTTACAATTCTAAAATTTTTTACGTAACAGTGGTTTTCAAAACGTGGTAAGGTATTTGTCCCGCCCTCTTAACATGCCTTCGTGGTGTAGTGGTCAGCACACTCGGCGCGTATTGGAGAGGTCCGCCCGGTGAGGGCATTGCTTAACCTAATGTCTCTACAAGCGTACAGTTAGGAATATGCGAATAAGTCTTAAAATAATAAGCAGGCTAAATGTAGCACAATGTTGAAGGAAATACTTTGTAGTTGTTACTTATGCTGACTTATCTGATAGTAACATCAGCCTAAGCCCACCAGATTCCTCGTGGCAAGGAGCGCTCGATACGCATTTCGTTGGCAACAGCCTTGAGCACCTTGCAGGTGACGGTGTGATCTAGCTCAGTTCCGCCCCCAATTTTGATGGAGGGTATCCCTGGGGAACGGGTACGAGGATCTCCCACCCCTCTCTCCTTCCACCAAATCACACGAAAGAACTTTCTGCTCGACGCATATTTAGAGTGCCGCCATGCCGTACTATACATTTACAAACAATCCATGTCTTCTGCGGTATTCGAACTCGGGACCTTTGCTACGGCAATCAGCAACCCTAACCACTAAACCGGTTGGACAGCTAGAACAAAATATAGGTTAGGTTAGGTTATTCATTTACGGCAAAGCCTCGAGGGCTATCAGCCTAAAGGGAGGGATGCCTTCATGGAGGACTTTCTAAGGGAAACTGGCTTCAGGTTCGAGTCCCGGGGAGGGCATAGCGTATTTCTCTCTTCTCCTGCTTCAAAAAAGTCCTAATGATTCTACACGTTGAATGAATAAGCAAGTTTGTAAATGGAGTGTTGAAATTAGGGGAAACTATTTTATTCTCTGCAGAGTTTTTAGTAAACGGACGCAAAGCAGCGGTTTAAGTCCGCTTTCTACAGAATCGTTCTCACCATTGTTTCATTAGGCTAAGAATATGTAAAACGGGCAATATCTTTATGAATAAGCATTGTACCCAGAGCGACATTACATTCAACAAAAGATGCTATATTTTTAGGTTATTTAATTACGGCAAAGCCTCGAGGGCTATCTGCATAAAGGGAGGGATGCCTTCGTGGAGGACTTTCTATGGGAAACTGGCTCGTATACAAGTTACACATGGGGAAAACCACGAAAACGCCCATGCAGCCAGCCCGTTCGCGGGATTCGAACCTCGGATCGAACTACCAGTGTTCAGCGATTTTACCGCTCCGCCGCTGGTGGGCCGAACAAAATATAAACTGCTTATATTGCGAATAGCTGTTACTAACTTCTGATGTACTGCTTCTGTTCTTACGGTGTTTGGGCAGTTGGACGGCAGCGAACCCCATCGTCGGCTCTGGATAATGGCGGGCGTAGTGCTGTACTGATTAACCATTAGGTAAAGGGACAGTGCCCAAGTCCTCCGTCACTTATCACTTCTTTCGTAAGAAGCTCCTTAGCTTGGCGGCGAAATGGTTTATAAGGATCTCTTGATGCCCTTTTGATATTTTGCCATTCAAAGTGATAAACTTTCAGAAAATCGTTGAAGTTTGCGCGGATGAGGCATGAGGTATGGCTGGTAGACATTAAATGTGGTCTCTCTCGTACTCACATGAAAGTTTTAGCTTGATAAAGAGACAACAAGAAGTTATAGCAAGCCAATTTTAAGATCTTTATTCAGGAATTTATTATCATTTATCAGCAGCGTTAAGATCTTTATTCAAAAAAGTGTTTTGTTGAGATTCATTATTGTTTCTTTTCACATTTGAACGACTTTATGAAGACATTTAAAACATTTTTACAAATATCTTAGAATTAAACTGCTGCCTTTTTTATTTGCTAATCGATCATAACAATTTTCAGTACCACATGATGATGAAAAGAAATTCTTTGAAGACTTTTGTCAAATTTGAAATATTTTTACTCTCCTTGGAAGTATTGTAATCACGAAAAATTTTGGGTATCATATTTCAGCAAAAATACCCATCTTGACCGCTCTGCATTTGAACGATGTTTTTACATGGCATCTGTACGTTCGGACAGAAAAAGGTTTCTTTTTTCCAAAACGGATTGTAAAATGGATTCAGAACAGATTTTTTTTTCCGTGTACGTACGTATTTCGCATTATTCAAAAAAGAGTAGCCTCAGAACTTTGAAATTTTGCAGATGGCCAGTGCTATAACACGTAGTTGTGCACCTCCTTGAAATCGGCCGCATATATACTCACTCTGTTACACGGCTCGGTGAGTTCAGTTTTTTTTTTTTATTATTATTATATGTTCGTAAATTGTGCATTTTTTGGTTTAAAAGATGATTGAATTCCGTTGTTATTATTTTACATTTAAGATTTTTATGCCTAAGTTAATCTGCATGCAATAATTGTAATTATTTCAAATTACAATTATTGCATGCAGTTAATAATACAATTATTGTATGCAGTTAGAAGTTATTGTATGCAGTTAGTTAATAATACAATTATTGTATGCAGTTAATAATACAATTATTGTATGCAGTTAGTTTAATAATGCGATTATTGTATGCAAATTACAATTATTGCATGCAGTTAGAAATTGTTTAAATGGTAACTAAGCCTAACGAGGCCGCCATTTGTTTACATTTGAAACTGTTAGTAGAATAGTAAATCAAGTCAATCGGTACACGAAATTCAGTGTCTTTTTGCGAGTGAAACCAAAAGAAAATTTTCAGTTTCGTGCACTGAAATACGCTTAGTTGGCTTCCGTCCCAGAGTAATCCATACAGAATTGGTTACCAACTAAGCGGTTTAAGGCCCTTGAAGATATTAATTGCACTGTGTGGAAGTCAAAACTCTTATCCATTGTGCGTAATACATGCATACTTACTAAAAATCTACCATTCTGTCCGCTGGCCGAATAGCTTGTTTTTTCGTAAAAACCTTAATTTTAATTAAAAAAAAAATTAAGCTGCATTTGGTGATTTATGCTTTTCTGTATTTTACAATTTTTAATGAAGATTTAGAGACATTAGGTATTTTATGGAAGCAGGAAAGATGAAAAATTAACAAAGCCTTCGCCGGGAATCGAACCACGGACCTCTGAAATACCGACTCAGTGTGCTGACCACTACACCACGAAGGCACGCTACGGAAGTGGGAGAAATACCTTATATATTCCCCTTTTTAAAGGGCGACTAGGGTGTTAGAGGACCTAGTCGCCAAATCCTGGGTGCGGAGAATCATCATCCACAACCCTTTTAGTTCGGGCGCCACTGTAGAGTCATTAGGTATATTTTGGGAGCAGGAGAGATGAAAAATTAGCACACGCCTTCGCCGGGAATCGAACCACGGACCTCTGAAATACCGGCCCAGTGTGCAGACCACCACACCACGAAGGCACGCCAAGAGAAGGTGGGAGAAATACGTTATGCACTTCCCCTTTTAAAGGGTGACTAGGGTTTTTAGGGGACCCAATCACAAAATCCTGGGTGGGGGAGAATCATAATCCACCACCCTTTTACTTCGGGCGCCACTGTAGAGACATTAGGTATTTTTCTGGAAGCAGGAAAGAAGAAAAATTAACAAAGCTTTCGCCGGGAACTGAACGGCGGACTTCTGGAATACCGGCCCAGTATGCAGACCACCACCACACCAAGAAGGTGGGAGAACTACCTTTTAAAGATATCTTGAGTTTTTATGTATTTTTGCTTTCCCGCGAAGTGAGAATTGAGCTCATTGAATGAGAAATATATTTCTAATGAAATTCGAGGAAATAAGCTAAAATTAAATGCAACATAACCTGTGTATAATTTAAGAGGCGTTACAACGAAGTCATGTGGTGTCCACATGAGATTTTGGTTTTAAGTACATGTGGTGATTGAATGAAAAACAACTTGCTACGAAGCAGCTTAAATGTTTGAAAATGCTTACGTAGGAGTGTGAGATTCTTTAGATTATTGGTCGTTACTAAGATATACAATCTAGAAAACGTTTGAAAACCACTGTAATGTAAGACATTTAGTTTTATTTATTTTCATTCTATTCATCTCCATTTTAGAAAATCTAATGTCCTTGACATAAAAGTAAAATTGAAAGATTAGTTTTGTACGTAATATTATAGTTTATTAAGCGTCCTTGCTTCTCAATGACAAAGGTTCTTTTTACCTATAATATTTCAGTTCAGTATAATTTCGTTAATCTAATTAATAATTTTTAATTAAAAATTGAAGATAAAAAGTAAAGTATGCAAAATCTGAAAATGGATATAAATTATAAGTATAATCGCAAACTTGCTTTACCATAAGAACACAGCGAAACTACTCTTACATGCGGCCCCAGGTCGCCAAATTTCTCGCCAAACATTTTTGGCGAGAAACTCCACGGTGCCATATTACTATGTAATTTTTTGTCTACATTTCAAACTTTAAACCTAAAATGTCTCCAAAAACGCGGCTTTCGCACATGCAAAAACCACGTTTTGAACACACAATTTAAGCTAAAAATCCGAAGCAAAAACAAAACATGTAGATAGCAAAAACGTAAAGTTTCTAACCAAAAATATTTGACCAAAATCCATGTACACAGCGATATGTTTTAACTTTAAAAAAATCTACGAATTGCACAATCTAGGCAGCGAAGGAATCTACGAACTACGCCCACCTCGCTTTAATAAATCAACATAACAACACTAAATTTCAAAGAATACCATGTACACAGCATTCTGTTTAAACTTTAAAAAAATCTACGAATTGCACAATCTAGGCATTACGCACAAATCAACAAAATAAACTAAAATAACTAAAATAAATTACAAATAATTCAAAAAACAACAATACCAACAGAAATTCATAGAACAATAAAATAAAATGCACTTACCATAATGGATGTTTTTTCGGACAGCAGAACGTAGCTTTAACATGCGGCCACGTACTTTCTAAGGTATTTATATGACAGCCAGACTCGCTATCCACAAAATTCATACTATGGTTCACAAATAAATGTTCAAAACCTTCTTTTCCTAAATCCTTGTAAGATTTCCAGCCATCCGATATAGTTGTACATCCATCATAGTTGTACAAGGCTCAATGCATTCTTTAATACACTGCATCAGCGTTTCCTTACTTCTGTCATGCACAGTCACTAAAAATAATCTCCCAGACCCTCTTGCAACCACGTTTCTCATTGCAACATAGGCCATTTTAAAACACGCACGACACGAACCATCGAAGAGTTTTCAACATCAAAAGTGTTGCCATACAACACGCAATTGCGCCAAAAACCAGCGCAGAACACATATCACCACATTTGGTGATCTTATGACGCATATAAGAGTAGAACCAACACAAACAATTTACGAGGATACTTTTTCATTACACGGGACCTAGGAAAAAAAATATTATAAACGTATTGATGGCATTTATCACGCCATTTTGCACTGCCCCACATTTTTCAACTGTTTGCATATGACATCCAGTGTTTGGGTCTACAAAATATTTTAAATCTTTGTATTTGTGGACAAATAGGCACAAAAGACCATTACTTATTTAAGGAGACTCATACACCTTAAAACCCATAAGATGTTCGAATAGGTGACTGTTGCAAGAATTGGGATAACTTATTTATTTTAAAAGCAATTACTACCAACTTTTTACAGCTCACTACATAATATAGCTGCTTTCTGAAATAGTCATCCGAAAGTTTGTGTTGCCACAAATATATTTTAATTTAATCCGCTATGTGACAACATTTTTCGTCATGTTTCCAACTTGCGCGCACAGTTTAAAACATTCTGTTTCATAATTTAATTCCATATTTAATATATAGCTTTTATAACATTTGTAAACTACTGTGAACCTATAATTCTAAAAATTTTATGTTAAATTTTTATTTTATTTTGAGTTAAGTTTATAAAATGTATTTTATTAACAAAATTTGTAATGTTTTCGTCGATATAATTTTTCAATATTAAAATATTCATCAGATTGTTGGTTCAGTTAGAAAATAGTGCCCATATAAAGAATTCCATCGAATTTCAAGTATGTACCATTAGCCATTTTTAAAATGCCATGCGCGCAAGGTGGAAACATGGCGAAATATTTTGTCACAAAGACGATTGAATTACAGAAATATTTGTGGCAACACAAACTTTCTGGTTACTAGTTTCCAAAGCAGCTACATTATGTAGTCAGCTGTAATAAGTTGGAAGTAATTGCTTTTAAAATAAATAAAATATCTCAATTCTTCCAACAGTCACATATCAGAGAGGTATATAAGATCATGAGAGGTTTAAGGTGTATGAGTCCCCTTAAGCATTTTTTATGTTTATTTACTGAAAACATGAAGAAAATAATCATAAAACTCCAGTCGATGATACTTTTTGTTGCTTATATGTGATTTCAAGAATGATTTATTAAATTCTACATTAAGAGTTGCCATCAAAAAGAACCCAAACTTGATGTAATATGTGAATCGTGCAGCAGCTTTTTGCATATTCGTGTAATAAAATAAAATATTTTACTTAGAAAACGGGCCAAAATTTCCCGATATTCCCTCTAGATTTTAATATTTCAGATAAACATCGCAAACGATCGGCTGAAGATTCCAACATGTCTCTTATGTCTGCAGCAGGTACACGGAACGATGGAAATAACGAAGGGACAAAGACGAAGCCTGATAGGGGAGATTCAGCTCAAAGTGACAGGAATTCTCAGTACAGTGACGGAACAGATGAACAAAAGGATTCTGAAGACGACAGCAATAAACCAGCCGAAGATTATAACAGCGATAACGACAACTCAGAGGATAAAAACGGGGAAGATAAAGAAGTTGATGGAGCACCAGAAGATAAAGAAAGAAATAGCAAAAAGAAATCAGATAATACAAATGGAGACGAGAAACAAAGCGATGAACTAACCGGAAGTGAGGAAGAGGAAACAAATTCTAAAAATAGAAACCAAGATGGCGATAAGTTGAAAGAAGGAGATGAATCGAGTGATGCGGGCGGCCAAGATGAACAAACAGGGGATCAACACACAGCTCAAGAAAAGGATGACGATAAAGAAACTGATCAGAACAAACAAACAGGAGAAGATAAAACACATGACGATTTTCAAGAAAATTCGAAGGATGGAAAGAATAAACAAACAGACAAAAGCACGGCGGGAGATTCAAAGGAGGGAAAAAAGAAGGACAATGCTGCAAATGGACAAGATCAACAAACAGAAGGTGATAAAAAGGAAGAAAATGGTGCAAACGGACAAGATAAGAAAACAAGGGATGACAAAGTAGAGGATAAAAAGGGAAAAAGTGGTGAGGATGAAAAGAACAAGCAAACAGATAAATTACCAAAAGGAGAAAAAAGTGAGGACCAGAAAAAAGATGATAAAAAGAAAGAGGAAGTTGGTAATGGAAACGGTCAAAAAGAAGATAAATTAAAAGAGGAAGGTAAAAATGCAGATGGAAAAAATGAAAATGATGCTGGGCAAGATAAAAAAATAGGGAAAGATAAAGTAGATGACAATAAAGATGATGCTAGTGAAAAGGACAAAAAAACAGATAAATTAACGGAGGAAGATAAAACTAATGATGAAAATGAACAGGCTAAACAAGGTGGTGATAAAACAGGAGACAAAAATAAGGAAGATGAGGATAAAAAAACAGATAAATTAACAGATGGAGGTAAAACTGATGACGTAAAAAAAGAAGATGAGGCAGCTGGAAAACAGAAAAAGACGGGAGAAGATAAATCAGATGATAAAAAGAACGCTGAAGATGCGCAACAAACTGAGGGAGGTAAAACAGGAGATAAAGATAAAGAAGGTAATGCCGGTAAAGATAAGCAAACAGATAAAATAACGGAGGGAGATAAAACGAATGACAAAAAGGAAGAAGGAGATGTTAATGATCAAAACAAACAGACAGGTGAAAAGGTAACAGACGAGAAAAAAAAGGAAGATGGAGAAAATGGAAAGGGTAAACAAACTGATAAATTAAAAGAGGGCGATAAAACGGATGGCAAAAAGGAAGAAGAGAATAAAAACGAGAAAGATAAAAACGCAGGTGAAGAGAAAAAGAAAGAAAATGGTACTAATGGAAAAGATGAACAAACAGGTAAACTAGCAGAGGGAGATAAAATTGATGATGAAAAGAAAGTAGGTGAGGCAAACGGAAATGATAAACAAGAAGGAGAAAATAAAGCTAGTGATAAAAACAAAGAGGGCGGTGGAAATGAAGAAACAGAAGGAGACAAACAGAAGGTTAAACAAACAGAAGGAGACAAAAATAAAGGAGCTATCGGCAGTCAAAAGGATACAACATCAGATAAATCAAAAGAGGAAGCTAAAAATGATAACTTGAAGAAAGAAGATGGCGCTAATGAACAAGGCAAACAGGCAGCAGAACAGAAAACGGTAGATGAAAATAAAGAAGATGAAAAGAATAAAGATGATAAAAAAACCGACAAATTAACAGAGGAAGAAAAAACTAAAGGAGATGAAGCAAATGAAAAAGATAAAGAAGCAGAAAGTAAATCTGAAGGTAATAAGAAAAATGATGAGGGAAAAGAAAAGGATAAAAAAGCAGAGAAAGCAACAGAAGGTAATAAAACTGATGACAAAAAGAAAGGAGATGGAACTAGTGGACAAGATAAAGACATAGGGAAAGACAAAAATAAAGAAGATGATTCAAATAAAAATGATAAAGAAACAGGTAAAATAGCCGAAGGAGATAAAACAGATGACAAGAAGAAGAAAGATGATGTTAGTGGGCAAGGTAAACAGGCAACGAATGATCAAACAAATGATAAAAACAATCAAGATGGTGCTAATCAAAAAGATAAATTAAATGGAGACGACAGAACTGAAGATAAAACGAATGCTAGTGGGCAAAGTAAACAAACAGAGGGAGATAAAAACAATGATGATGATAATGCCAGTCAAAAGGATAAACAAACAAATAAATTGAAAGAAGATAAAAATGGTGACAACCAGAAAGCAGATGACTCTAATGGACTAAGAAAAGACGAAGGAGAAGAGAAAACGAAAGATAAAAGCAAAGAAGATGACGGGAATGAAAAGGGCAAGCAAACAGATAAATTAAAAGATGAAGACAAAACGAATGGCTCAAAGAAAGAAGACGAAAAGCATGCACAGGAAAAAAATGCAGGAGATAAGTCAGATGATAAAAAGAAAGATGAAGAAACGAATGGAAAAGATAAACAAACAGATAAATTAGTGGAAGGAGATAAAACTGATGAGAAGAAAGAAGGTGATTCAACTGCAGGTAAAAGTAAACAAGACGGACTGAATGAAAAAGATAAAAAATCAGATCAATTAAGAACTGAAGATGAAAATAGTGATAAAAAGAAAGAAAATGACGCAAAAGAACAAGACAAGCAAGCAACTGAAGATCAAACAGGAAGTAAAAATAAAGGAGATGGTGGAAATGTAAAAGATAAACAAACAGATAAATCAGTGGGCGGAGGTAAGACGGATAATACAAATGGACAAGATGGTCAAACAGATGTAAACGGAAAGAAACAAGATGATGCAAAGGAAAAGGATAAGCAAACAGATAAAATAGAGGATGAAAATAGGCCTGGCGATAAAAAGGAAAATGGGGCAAATGTAGAAGATAAGGAAAAGGGAAATGATAAAACAAGTAATGAAAAGAAAGAAGATGCCAATGAAAAGGATAAAAAAACGGGAGATCTGACTGAGGATAAAAAGAAAGACGGTAGTGGAAACGAACAGGATAAACAAAAAGAAAAAGACACAGACACAAACCTAGATAAATCAGGAGACAAAAATAAAGATGATGGGGGTAAAAAAGATAAAGAAAAAGATAAGTTAACAGGAAGCGGCAAAACTGATGACGGTAAGAAAGAAGATGTTGCTAACAAACAGGATAAAAAAGAAGATGAAGGCAAAACAGGAGATAAAAATGTGAGTGAAAAAGATAAACAAACAGACGAATTAACAGGTGCAGAGAAGACTGATGATAAAGAGAAAGAAGGTGCTACTAATGGAAAAGATAAGCATGGAGATGAATTAACGGAGGAAGATAAAGCTGATAATAAAAATAAAGCAGAAAATTTGAATGATAAAGATAAGGAAACAGGCAGAAAACAAGAGGAAAGCGGAAAAGACCAACCAGAGGATAAAACTGAAAAAAATCCAACGGATAATGCTACAAAAGAGAATCCAGATGATAAAAGCCAGACAACTGATAAGACTGGAAAACATAAGCAAACAAATGGAATGCCAGGATCAGAACATCCTGATGATAAACAGCCATCAGACGAGGCAATGCAAAGACCTGGTGAAAATGCTCCTGCAAATAGAGCACCTGGGCCAAATACGGCAGGCGGAGGCAATCCTGGAAGAAATGGTCCTGCGAATGGTTCAACTTAGGCAGGTATGCCAGCAAGAGGAAATAATCCTGCCAAACAAAGACGAACCAAGTTAAATTGTATAAAAGTTTAATATAATATACGTGTAATACAAAAATTAAATTGTGCTGAAATATCGCCCTTAAGTATTATATTACTTTTCATTAATTCTTTTGAATGAGTATTAACATTAAGCTGAAATTCCAAATCAGAAAGATCTGTAATGCCATCCACACACTTTTTGAAAAGTTCTGATTTTTTTATGTAATTTTCCTTATGCAAAACGATGTAATTTGCAGTCTGTATATTGCAGCTATCTATGCTCTTCGTTTACACTAGTTTGAATAAAATATTACAAAACGTTTTCTTTGATTCTTTTTTTTTTTTTTTTTTTTGTTAAAGTATGTTATTATTTCTTTCAGTAAAATGTACATTGAAGACACATTGATTGCAGCGATCAGAGTTGAGGTACAAACAATAATTAGTTTCAAATATAAAATTAGTGTTATGTTAGAAATAACTCTTGCTATTGACGTGAATTGAAAGCAAGATTTCCTTAACTATGAATACACTTTTTTCCCAGCTTTAACACACTCCTTCCAGGCATTTAGTAAATAATATTACTTATTAAAACTGCTGGAAATAAACTGCGCAACACGACAAAATACTCATTCTGAGATTAAATTTTTATATATTTCAATATGGTTAGCTTGATGTCTTAAGTTGATCTCAGTAGTCTTCAGTGATTTTAGGTCATGTGGTTTCTTTCGCGCAAGCACAGTATTTAAAATATTGTTAGAAAATTCCCAGCTGCAGTAAGACATCTTCCCCGCAAGGTCGGTTCAAGGTTGCAATAAAATGGCAAGGAAATACAGGGTTGCCAGAGTTGGCGCAAAATTGTCCATTTGGCGACTGAATCGACAATACAATATACCATAGCGGAGCGAGAATATTCTGGAACGAATGAATTCTTACCGGTTTGCCCCACAGTATTCTCGAAGGCAGGTCAAAAGCTATATAAAACCTCCTCGTACGCGGAGAAGCAGTGCATCGTCGAGTTTTGTCTTGAGTGTGTTGATCTCTGAGAGTGATCGACCGAGTCGGGAGCTGTACTTTAGTGTTTTGCAGTGAAACTGTCTTCACCGTTATAGCCTGTAGGCTGTGTTGCCGATTGTAATAAAATCTAACTATGTATTGGGCCTCAGAACGAAGATTTTGTTAAAAAATTCGTAATTCGAAACTCATAGAAAGATTATTTTATGGCAAATAACATGATTATAATTTGGATTAAGAGTCGTCGGGGAACTTTCACATTTTTAGATCTTGCGGTTTGGAGACTCGTTATTTCAAGCCAGCGCTGTACAATGCAGTTATCGAACGTAGTATGTACACTTCTGTTCAAAAAATTAAAAACAAATGCAAAACATGAAATAAAACAAAAACTACTTTATGGATGTGCGTGACATTGATCCAAGAGGTTGGTGTGGCATTACTAGACCACATAGCAAGCAATAAACCAAAGATATATATAAAAGCACATGTATTACGGCCATCACAACGCGAAAGACCAAATGGGTCGGAAGAATGTGTAATGGAAATATTACGCTAATAACGGGTATGATACTTTTTAGCGGAAATGCATACTTGACAACGGCAAGGCAAGCTGGCAATAATGTCGTCCATCGCTTCTCGTAGCAGGAGCGCCCATTCTGTAGTAATCCATGCCGGAGCTCGTGGAGGGTGTCTGGCGGCACATTGCTACCTGCTATCCGTCGTCCCAATATGTCTATAGAATTCATGTCCGGTAATCTAGCAGGCCATGGCAGATGTAGAATGATTTCACTCTCCAGATAACTGTACACACTACTCGAGATTTATGTTGACAAGCGTTATCGTTTATAAATATAGCTTCGGTTTCCCATCGCAGCGATAAAAGGACACCCAAGAGGGTGTAAATTTCGTTACGATAATCCGACGGCTGTGACGAAGCCACCAGGAATCACATTGATGTCGATGCGGAAGTTCGTTGAATGCTATTTAATACTTTCTTGTATGGGTTCGGATAACTTAGACCATACAAATAAGTCTCCTCCACTGTAATGGTCTCTTTCGACGATGCTTGGCGCCGGATAGCGTTTCCTTAGCTCTCGTCATATCATTACCTTCAGAAAGCGATCTGAATATTAAATCGAAACTCATTCGTAAGGCGTGCGTCGCCCCACTGCTCTGGTGTCCAACTGCAATGTTCACGGGCAAAATTCAACAGCATTCTGATTTGCGATGGGGACAAAGAAACACTAACCACAGGTCTTCGGGCAGCGGTCTACCTTGTACTCGACGCGACACAGTCTGGTGGGATATGGACCGTCTTGCAGCAGAGAGATGCAACGCCAACTGCCGTGATGTTAGTGATCTACACCGTCTTGCCCATAGCAACAACAGGGTCGTCTTCCGTTGTGGAAATCATCCAGGCTTACGTCTTCTACAGGGGTTTTGATCCTTTTGGGAACGATTTCACAGCCTGTTGATGACACTATGATGCGCATTCAGCTCTCTCGCAACAGTAACATCCCGACAGCGCTCCAACGTATTCCATTGTGCAAATGATGTTTCCTCTTTGTTATTTCAAGATTACACGGAACTGTCGCTGCTAGCGAACTGACGAATAAGTTCCGGCATACCGTGTTTTAAGGAGATGTGTCGCAACTGCGGGATGCTAATTTTGGTTTTCCTTTTGCATTCAGCGATGCAACCTCTACATCATAAGCAAATTGTATGTTTTATTTTTCCTTTTCTAGATTCGAAACTTTCCTTTTAGCGTTTGTTGTTTATATTTTGAGCATTTTATTTGCGATAAAAATCGCTACTATTTAAAAGCAAAAATTTTCACTAAACGAAGAAACGTGAACTGCGAACAACACGAAAACCCGTTATTTTTAAAATTTAAAATAGAAGAAATTCATATACGAAGATCGGCATCCGATAAAAAATCGAGTAACATCCTAGTTTACGGTACGGTTTTGAGTAGTAACCCACGGTACTCGTGCTACGGAAGTGACGTCACAGAAAAGGGGCGTGGCCAGTACCCAGAGGGCCTGGAACCGGAAGTGACGACACCAGCGCCATCTTGTGATTTCCGGAAGCGATGCGTTGGAATTATGTCAATTAAAATACTTATTAAAAGGAGTAAACCATTAAAATTAATGATTTACTAAATAATTAAATATAATTAATCACGTGTCAAATAATTAAAAATAATAAATTTAAAGTGGTGTCATTCCAAACACGTGGTTCCAGAAATCGTTGCCATAAAACCTAAAAAATATTGTCGTTGCCACAAAAAATAAAAACCTTCAAAAACACAATATTGTTACTACAAAATAAAAAGAAAACTTTGATGACATCATTCCAACGCATCGCTTCCGGAAAAATCACAAGATGGCGCGAGTGTCATCACTTCGGTTCCAGGCCCCTCTGGATACCGGTCACGCCCCTTTTCTGCGACATCACTTCCGTAACGCGAGTACCGTGGGTTACTACTGATTTGGCGCGATTTTGAAACTTATCGCCAACACCAAGATGACTCTTTTACCGCTCATCATAAATGCCGCTTTTACTGCTCATCATTAATGTCAGAAAATCCTGTGTGTACTGTATACTAGGATTAAAACAAAAATCGTTTATTATAAAAGAGAAATTTTTACTGGAAGAAGAAACACGAATGAAAAATCGTTATATTTTGACGCTAGAAGAAACTCATATGCGCAGATCGGTAACCATAAATGTTTATTTCTCGGCAATGCTGATACGTGGCAAATGAACATTCTCTCCAAGGCCACTGCAGAAGATAAATACCCGTAATTCTTTCCACAAAATGTTGGTGACACAGAATCCAAAAGCTTTTGATATTATTCCAGAGTAATTATTCAAATTTTATATGTCAAACAACTGTATGTAAATTTATGTAAAGCAACTTTAACAACAACGATTTTCTTGAGGCAAAGCAATCAGTTTAACCCGAAGATTAGACAGATTTTGTTAACGCATAACGAGTCTGTTAGAGTGCTTATATTCAAATGATACATAAATATTCAAAGAATTTCACAACTGTAAGGAAGACGAAAGAATAGCATTCAGTTGATGTTCTACGCATGTGTTTTGTTCAGAGGTAAAACTTTGATCTTATGTACAACATATAAACAAAAATTTGAGTTAAACATGTTCATATAGGGGAAAAAATATTTTTAAAAAACTAACAAAAATTTAAATAAAATGCAATTTTTATTACCTGCTAAAATGTAACGAAAATTTTACAATCGACACAACTTTACTTAGGAATTCTCTAAATGTGAATTATTGCTTCTAAAAGAAAATGAGTTGATACTTTAAGATTTAATATTTAAAATTGTACACCAACTCAAACACACTGGTATTATTTTGAAAGACTGGTGTTCAAAGTAAGTCCGAAGTCAAGCAAGTCAAGTCAGTTAAATCACTTACTCTCAGAGAAAAGTGCAGAGCTTTCGTTTTCTTTTTATATGCAGTGCTGCTCTTGTGGCTATCTCAAAGACATCCCTTACTCCTTCTTTGGTCTTGGCCGAACATTCCACATAAGCATAGGCACGAATAGCTTCAGACGTGGCACAACCTTGCTGAAATGTCACCGGCTTCTGAGCCATCGAACCCAGCTGATACAGAGCTTCTTCATCATACCTCAAATCGCATTTATTGCCGACTAAAATGACAGGCACGCTGGGGCAAAAATGTCTTACTTCAGGATTCCATTTGTCAGAAATGTTCGCCAGGCTGTCTGGATTGTCGATGCTAAAACACATGAGGATGACATCCGTATCTGGGTAAGAAAGAGGGCGCAACCTGTCGTAGTCCTCTTGTCCTGCAGTATCCCATAAAGCTAACTGGACTAATTCCCCATCTATTTCGATGTCTGCTACATAATTTTCAAACACAGTAGGGACATAAACCTCTGGGAATTGGTCTTTACTAAAGACGATCAATAGACAAGTTTTCCCGCAAGCGCCGTCGCCGACAATAACTAACTTCTTTCGAATAGTAGCCATATCAGTTAAATATTCCAAGATATTTCCCTAAACTAAGCGAATGTTTCGTTTACTTCAGTAATTTTACGGTTACGCATAAAAAGGGCAATTACGAAGCGCTATAAATGCTCATACGTGTAAAATTATAAGAAAATTCATTTTTCATAAACAAAACGAAATGGCGTCCAGATTTAACTACCGTAGCCAGATAAAATAATCTTTTTGAGATAAAATATGTTGCCACTTTTTTATTGTTGCACAAACTTTTTATTAGTCCAAAGGGATTTGAATCCCGAAGGACTATTAGTTTCGTTTTGGCATTTTGCGTCGGACTCATAAATGTCGGTTCACTTTTCAAACTGTTGCCACAAAATGTTAGAGTCCTGCATTATATTTGAAGAAATTAAATAATGAAAAATCTGCATAAATGTATGTCTATTTCTCGTATTGTGATAAAACAACGGTACATAGAGTCATCGAATTTTGAATAACGTAATCCTCCAACGAATATGAGCATGTGGAAGAAAGACCAAATTTGAAATTTGAAATTTGTTTTATGATCGATTTCCTATTTTTTAAAACTTTGACAAATTTTTGATTAACAAACTCAAGGATTTCAAAGCGAGCAATGGCAACGTTGTGCAGAAAAAACATTTTTATCTCCAGCGCGTGAGTCTCTGTATCGGAAATTCTAGAGATAGGCTCGTTTTAATACTATTTTGCGATATTGCTGTTGCACTGGATCTTATGGTTTAAGTGCGAGGAACATGATATTTAATAAAGAAAGGTAACACACAAAATGTTAAAAAACGCCCCTTTGGACGTAATTTAAAATCTGAAACATTTCAGATTTTTTTTTTTTTAAATAAAATCGTAGAGACGGTTGCCCAGTTAATTAGTAAAGAAGAAGAACTAATCTTAACGGATACTGAAACTTTAGATACTGAAATCTTAACGGATACTGAAACTAAAGATACTGAAACTTTAATTGATGTAAACAATTTAGAAGATAAGATAATTTCTAGACAAGAGTATTAAAGTAAAATTATTCTTTGAAAATTCAGTTCAAGAGCAATATCGCAAAATAGTTTTAAAACGAGCATACCTTTAGAATTTCCGATACAGAGACTCACGCGCTGGAGATAAAAATGTTTTTTCTGCACAACGTTGCCATTGCTCGCTTTGAAATCCTTGAGTTTGTCAATCAAAAATTCGTCAAAGTTTTAAAAAATAGGAAATCGATCATAAAACAAATTTCAAATTTCAAATTGGGTCTTCCACATGCTCATATTCGTTGGAGGATTACGTTATTCAAAATTCGATGACTCTATGTACCGTTGTTTTATCACAATACGAGAAATATACATACATTTATGCAGATTTTTCATTATTTAATTTCTTCAAATATAATGCAGGACTCTAACATTTTGTGGCAACAGTTTGAAAAGTGAACCGACATTTATGAGTCCGACGCAAAATGCCAAAACGAAACTAATAGTCCTTCGGGATTCAAATCCCTTTGGACTAATAATGTTGTCGGTTCATATAGTTTTCGCTTGCGCTTTAATAAATAAATTCTACGCAACTTAATTTCTAAATTCCATTATTATTTCGGACATTAATAATCCCCTATACATATTTAGAATAATGGAACTGTAAGTTGCTTAGTGACAGTCATGTATTCTAGAGTAGAATGTTTCTACTTTTTGTCTACTTTCTACTTTAATGGCATTGGTTTCATTCGATTTAATTTTTGATTAAATGGCTATCTAAATATCCTACATTGCCATTTATCAGTGACCTGCGGGTTGACTGCCAGTACTCGTTAATCTATAAATAATCAATAACCAAGAACCTTGATAGTCAATTTAAAAACTTCCGATTAATTTTTAGCTCAAAAGTGCTCTTAATTTCGTTTTGGCATTTTGTGGCGTTTCACTTTTCATATTGTTGCCATCCGATATTAGAGGCCTGCATTATATTTAAAGAAATTAAATTATCAAGAGCATGCCTGAATATATGTATGTTTCTTGCAGTGTGAAAAAACAAAGGTACCTAGAAACATCCAGTTCTGAATAACGTAGTCCTCCTCTCGAATATGGGCATCTGGAAGCCCAAATTTGGAATTTGTTTTATTATCGATTGCATATTTTGTAAAACTTTAACGAATTTTTGATTAACAAACTCGAGGATTTCAAAGCGAGCAATCGCAACGTTGTACAGAAAAAACATTTTTATCTCTAGCGCGCGAGACTCTGTATCGGAAATTAATATAAAGATATGCTCAATTTAAAACAATAAGATGATATGCTCAATTTAAAACAATTTTGCGATATTGCTCTTGAACTGAGTTTTATGGTTTAAGTGCGAAGAACGTGATATTTAATAAATAAAGGTAACAGACAAAATGTTAAAAAAACGCCCCTTTGTACGTAATTTAAAATCTGAAACCTTTCAGATTTTTTTTCTTTTTCTTTTGATATTATATTTATGCACAGAACAGAAGTTAAGAAATGTTGGGAATGGAAAACTGAAAATACTCAACTCAAATAATTTATTAACTATCTAAACTACATTATAGCTTTCCTATATGTAGTGTCATATATTACATACATAGATATTGTTATGATATGCCAGATGTTTAAGAATCAAAGTACTAAGCTATGGATATTATTATTCTTGAATGATAAATTTTATTGTTTCATGGACTGATAATATGCTAAGTTACACATAATAATGTTTTCACCTCATTTCAAATTTTCTTTACTTAAAGTTCAATGCACTAAACTGCGTATAAACATGTTGCTATTACGTGAAATATTTTATTATATATTCAAATTAGTATTAGTATATTCAGTTAGATGCAGAAACATTTTTGAAACATGACATATTTTCTTGCTTTAATAGAATTCCATAATTACTCTTGAAAACTTTGTACTTCAGAATTCCATACTTTATACTTGCCCACACTTAAATAGATGATCGTATTATGACATACAGATTCGTAGTAGAATTACAGATTGGTGGATGTCCTTGTAGAGTTGGCAGAAAGAGTATCTGCGCTATCTATGACGCATCCCAGCAATTTTTCCGTATGAAGTAACAGCAAAAGCAGAAATGAAACGATAATCAAAATGTAAATCAGAAACATTTCAGTTATATCCGATTCATTTACATGGATGAGCCAAATTACTCTTTTAGGCTTCTTTACTTTAGCCAATGATAGGCGTTTAGCGTTGGGTAGTTTCACCACACCTGCTCTCACGTCACTCATTTTCTCTGAAATAAAAAGACAACGATTAAAATTTACTTTTAGCTTATATATAAAGTAACTGGGAAAAAATTAAATGGTGGTATTACGTTAAGTAACGCGTTAAAATATCATGTTTTTAATTCGGATGTTTAAGTTAGCGGTGTGTACCCGAAATAAAGGAGGTTATATTTGGCTACCCTATGTTAACGCCAGCTGCCTCTTCGTATCAAGAAATTAGCATTTTGCCAAAGTATGATCCAAAGTAGAATTACAAATACAAAAGGTTTAAAACAATAAACCAAACACAAACAATAATTTCGTCAAAACTAGGTATACAGAGGCTGTTCGCACATTTTTTAGACGATGTATATTGTATTCACAAAATTAAATTACATAAAATTCTTGTGTTTTAAATGTTCTATTTGACATCCTTTATTCTGAACTATCTTTCGACACCGCAATTTCCAGGATAATAATGCCTTTTGAAGTGGCAGAAGAACTATTCTATCCCATTCCTCCCGAACAGCTTTCCACAGTCCTGTTAGGGTTTTGGGACAACGTTTGGATAATGCAGTTTTTGAAAGTCCGAAAGCACAAAAATCCATACATCGGGAGATTGAGACATCGGGAGATTGAGTAGGAATATCAGTGAAGGGTATGTATGGCCTTGATACCAGTTTTTTATTCCATTTCGTTTAGGAAATTTACAGTGGATTTTGATGTCTGACTGCTAGCTTTGTCCTGATGGAGTCTCACAGATGGATGGAAGTGTGGGTAAGGCGATGGTATTCATTCAGAACAATTAGCGATAAAATATGTTCCTGATAGTATTTGGAGTTAATCTTGACATTTTTTTTTCACTCTCTTTATTTTTAACTTGCCATTATAAAAAAAACTAGCAACAATCATGAATACCTTAGAAAAACTTTCTTTCGATTCTTTGAAACATGTACTTGAATTTTTTTCTCCCCTTTTATGATAATAAATGGCTTTTTTTTTGTTACAATCATTTAAATACACCCATGCTTCATCTATTGTGACAATTGTTTTCCATTTTTCTTTGGATAAGCGTTTCTAATATAGAATTCTGCAGCGTGTCCTGCGTTGAGCGATATGCTTTGGAAGAAGACGATGCACATTGCGTTTTTTTTTCGCTTTCTTAAGATTTAAATCAACGTTTATCATTTTGTTTACAGTGGACACCGAGCATTTTAATGATTTTGCAACTGTCCTTTGACTAGGGGGATTTTCTTTTAACATTAAAAAACGTACCTTTGCAATAGTCGAAAATGTCCGTTTTTTCCTTGGATACTTGTTTGGAATTTTTGTCCCACTTGAGGCTCCAATTTGACGTATTTTTCCTTTCTTGTTGATGATATTACCTATCGACGCTTTAGATATCACAAAACCATGACTCTCACATCGTTTTTGGATAACGGAGTATGCATATTTCTCTTCGGAAAGAGTGTAAATGTAGCCTTCGAACCGCTGCTTTGTTAAATTCGCCATTTTGAATAAAAACAAAACTTTCAAGCCACAGACGATAATTTTGACTTTTAAAAACATAGTACAATTGCAATTACTTCTTTTGCAGCAAACGATTTTTTATTACGGCTTACCAAAATCGTCTAAAACATGTGCGAACAGCCTCTGTATTTAATGGATAGTACGTAATAATGGATTTAGATTTTCTTTCGTTTTATGCTATTCTGAAATTATTTTATGTGCTGTAATTTCTTGGTTTAAGAAATTTACATACATCAAAGCTAGATATAGTTTGCACGTTTCATATTGCGAAAAACGGATCCAAAATGTTTCATCTCCTTTAATTCAAATTTTCTTTTTAAACAGCCCGCTCTAAATATTATATGTCATGATGAAAATTTTTGTTTTAAAACTGTAACGAATGAATATCG